TATATATTACATTCTGCAGTAATCAAGTAGAGGACGTAACATTGGCGACAAGGTGAAGCATTAACAATGCCAACCGCTCTTTAAAATGTCGAATCTTTGCTCTAACGTCAGGAAAAGCGGTATGAACAATAATGAATGATAATAACTTTTGACGATCACTGAAAACGAAGAGTCAACTGAGAGCATTTTCATAGTGTGAAAATCTTCGTGAGCGACCACTCATGATCCTACTAAGAACTCGAACTCAATCATTGAGCTATTGTTTATTTAATTATTAGGCTGCCATAAAATAGTGTACATTTTTAAATTTAATTAGTTCGTGACAAAATGCTTTAAGATAATCCAGTAACTGTCTAAAGCTTGTAGTATCGGTTATTATGTTAAACCCATATAACGTATTCTAGCTTTCGGACAGGTCAGTCTATTCATTCTACTTAAGTCCTATTTTGATCCTGTTAATTATTCACTTATCAACCTTGACTGTCTGTATAGGAGCGTATGTGTGTACAATTCTTATCCTATTTATCATATGTCTGTAGCTTATTTTTGTGTAACTATAAATATTGATTATTGCTTGATTAAATCTACTTGGCTTACATGCCTTCTCTGACATGCGTTATTTTGCTTCGCTCTCTTCTTTCCGCTTTATCCCTCTGATTTCATGTCCATATTAGTCGGTGTACAAAATATACTCATTCAAAAATTCATTTTCATATTTGACTTATTTAATTCCGTTAATGACTAACGCAATTTAATTCGATATGTATATCTCAATAGCATTCAGAAATGATCTCACTGGATTCAGATCTCGGGCTACTAAAAGTTCAACAATGTTGAATATCAATAGTTACAACTTGCCAGATTAGAGCATGGCACATCTAGTCTACAATTTAAATTATCATTTTTAAAACTGCTACAACAATAGTAACCATCATAATTATGTAAAATGGTATGAAAAATCGAAAAATATTATCAATTTCTTAATGAAAACTATCTTTATTAAATAATAAAAATGATGATGTGCTCTAAAAAATTTTAATCCGTAGAAAACTGAATATAAGACATTTGTAGTTTGTCTTTTTTCATTAATCAATTCTTTAAAGTTTAAATAAATAACCAAACTAAATTAACGCAAGCTTAAATCATACAAAGGTAACGAAGTAGAATAAGCTTAGTACAATGAAAATGAAGATAAATTTGGTCTTATTATCGTCATTCCAATCAGATCTACATGATTCTTTATGAGATCTACCGGAATGTATTTGTGTGAAATATAGTTTACATAGGAAATGCGATGTTTGTAATATGAAAGAGAGTAGAATTAAATGATATTTATATGCACGTAATGCTTTTTTTGGAGTATTACAAACATAAAGTGTAATACACAAATTAGTAATTCTCAAATATAACCAGTATAAACATTTATACTCACGACTGGATCAAAACTGAAAACAGATAACTCATTCAAATGCATGGTATTGAAATTAGGATTGCATAATTACGTATATACAGAATATTTATCATTTTATACAAACATTATAGTTTGCCAATAGCATGAAATGGGTGGTTACTTGAAGAAATGGTTCATTATTTTTATAATCACAAAGGAGTTTTGTGGATATTATAGTGATTTAATAGTTGAATTCATGAGTCAATTGATACTAGACCATCATAAAAAACCCCAAAGCACTGGATGGCCGTTTCATCCTAGTATGGGACCGCTCAGCAGTGCGCATCCACGATCTCGCCCACAGGATTGGAACCAAGGACCTAAAGATCTCGCGCGAAAACGCCTGACTTCTAGACCACTGAACCGGCATCCAACGGTGTTAATGTCTAACCTAAAACAAACCACGGAATCGAGCGACACATTCACCATTGTCTTCAGTGAGTTACTATCTCACAACAAACACGGCTGAACTCCACTGGTCACGGCTTCTCACTAGAACTCCAGGAGTATATCTTGAAGCCAATCACTAGTGAGCATATGATGATTATAATCAGAAAAAGGTTTTGCCACACAAAAAAGACCCATTAGAACCGAATTGAGTAATGAGAAAACCAAAAGTAGGTTCCAGGAACAACTGAGGTCACACTTAGGTGGTTCTGAAAACGAGACTGACCCAGATGTTGCTTGGAAAGTTATACAAGCAGCTGTGGAAACAGCAGTGACATCTACAAGTGATTTAAACCACAGGGTTACAAAGAACCAATGGATTTCTTCAAGGTCTATTGCACTGATAGATTCTCGCAAACTCATCCCATCAGGTTCTGAATACGATGAAGAGCGTAAAGAAATCAGATCTAGATTAAGCAAAAGTCTACGGAATGATCGTGAGCAGTGGTGGGCAACGAAAGCAAAAGAGATAGAAAAGGCGGCGGCTATAGGGAACACAAGACAACTCTACAGACTAATAAAAGAAACTGGAATTAATAAATCAAGTGTAAGTCAGACCATTTCGGAAAAAGACGACACTCTCATCTGCTCCCAGTCCAGACGCTTAGAACGATGGGCGGAACACTTTAAGGAGCAGTTTAGCTGGCCTTCAGCTACTCTACAACTACCCTCTATTCCCAGACAGTGTGAATGGAACATTGAAGTAGGTCCCCCAACTCTAGCTGAAGTTCAAAAGGCTATAGCTAATCTGAAACGAGGAAGGGCAGCTGGTCCAGATGGATTGGCCCCAGAGGTCTTTAAGGATGGTGGTCTAGTCTTAGCGATTAGGTTGACTAATATTTTAGCTAAAATCTGGGAGTTAGACGTTATTCCATCTAACTGGTCACAATCACTTATCGTCCCAATATTTAAGAAAGGGTCAAAATCATCCTGTGACAACCACAGAGGGATTAGTTTGACTAATATAGTATCTAAAATACTAGCTTCGATAATTTTCGGACGCCTAACTAAGACTCGTGAACTGCAAACACGAGAGAATCAAGCTGGCTTCAGACCTGGTCGTGGATGCATAGACCACATATTCACCATTCGTCAGGTCCTAGAACACAGGCATACTTATCGGCGTCCGACAATGGTGGTCTTTCTTGACTTAAGAGCAGCATTTGACTCGGTAGACCGCGAGATTCTGTGTCAGTGTCTGTCATTGAAAGGCGTACCTCAGAAGTACATAAACCTTGTGAAGGCTCTTTACTCGAACACTACTAGTCGGGTCAGAGCCTATGGCAAACTGTCATCCGCTTTTGCAACCTCAAGTAGCGTCCGCCAAGGCTGTCCACTTTCTCCATTTTTGTTCAACTTCATCATAGATCTACTGATGGAAATAACGCTCTCATCGACTGAATTCTCAGGTATTGATCTCCTACCAGGAGGTCCACTTATTGACTTAGAATACGCAGATGACATAGTCCTGTTTGGTGAAGACGCTGATGAAATGCAGAGTCTTTTGGTAGCACTGAGCAACAATGCTAGAATGTTTGGGATGCGCTTTTCTCCCTCTAAATGCAAGTTGTTGCTTCAGGACTGGTTTGCATCAACACCTGAACTAAGGATAGGGAGTGAAGTAGTCGAAGGCGTCGACAACTTCACTTATCTTGGAAGTCTGATCAGCCCTAATGGGTTGGTGTCTGACGAAATCTCAGCACGGATTCGAAAAGCTCGTTTAGCCTTTGCCAACTTACGTCATCTGTGGCGCAGGCAAGATATTCGTCTATCAAATAAGGGACGAGTATACTGCGCGGCAGTTCGTTCCGTTCTACTATACGGCTGCGAAACATGGCCTTTGAGAGTAGAAGATATTCGTAAGTTACTAGTATTTGACCACATATGCCTTAGAAATATTGCGGGTATCTGCTGGGATCACCGGGTAAGTAATAGTGAGGTTAGACGCAGGGTACTAGGTAGTGATGGTAAATCAGTTGATGAGGTTATGAATCTTCATCGACCGAAACGGTTGGGTCACGTGTTACGTATGCCCAACCACCGATTACCACAACACGCAATGTTGGAGATAGTTGGAAGTTAGGGGTGGCTAAACCAAAACGTGGCATCAGTGCTTGAAGTCACTAACTTCTGGTCTGAGCCATGTTGGTAGATGCAGACTACCTGGTTGGGGTCCGCGTGACTATCGTAACCAATGGTTGGAGACACTTGTTGACATGGCTCAGAATCGATCACAATGGCGTCGGTGTATTCACTCTCTGTCTTCCTTTAAACTAAGAGATTAAAATCACTTCAAATCTTTCTTTCTAGGAACTAATTCTATCTTCCTGTACTATCTCCTTATACACACTCTTTCTTCTATATATTACCACCACTGAATTAACTACTCCTATAAATCCGGTGTTCATCTTGTTGTGCTAATGCGGTATGGCAAGTTGGACCGATGCATATACGTGCCTGGTCCTACGTTGCAGCTGACTGACTGACGGACTAGTAATTTTAATAGTTAAGATCATGAGTCAATTGAAGCTAGACTATCATGGAAAACCTGAAAGCACTGAACAACCGTTTCATCCTATTAGTGGTTTAGCTTCAATGAACTCATAAATTACTCAATTTATTAAATCCCAATTTTCCTCGTTAACAATCTACTCAAATACTCAAATTCTTTTTAAAAAGAAAATCATCTTTATATCGATTCAATATAAAAGAAAATAAAGGCACTTAAAATCAATTCATTTAATATAAAAAATAATCATCAGTTTTCTCACTTTCTATTTAATAAGACCTTAAAAGAAAAAAAAACAAGATCATCTTAACAACTAATTGATTTATGATCGTAAAAAATAGTTTTTTTTCCAAAAAATTTTTTTAAAGTATATTAATCGATAAAATATACCGTAATTTCAGCTAAAGTACATCATTTAAATATGATTCAATAATAAACACACACACACACAATTAAAGTAACTCTATTGGACATTATTCATACAAGATTGTTGTTGTCCAGGTGATTATTATTATTATTATTATTATTATTCAAATGAGTTAATATAAACAAAACAAATGAAGTAAATAATAACAATAATTATAATAATCTATTGATATAACACATAATCTAATGTATATTGATCCAGTGAATTATTTAGAAACTTATATTCATTCCCTTAGTGATAATAATATTGATAAATTTGAATTGAATAAATTACTTCAAGCATTTAAATGTCGTATAGAAGATTATCAACGTAGATATAAATCTAATCATCTAAATTCTATTTTATCTAATCATAATAAAATATGGTTACTATTAACTGATCTCAATTTATCAAATATTCAATTAAAATTAATACCAAATGAAAATATATTTGGTAATTTACCAAATTTAAAACGTTTATGGTTACATAATAATCAAATTAAAGAATTAAATAATTGTTTAATTAAATGTAATAAATTAATAGAATTAAGATTAAATTCAAATCAATTACATAATATCTATGGACAATTATATAAATTACATTGTCTTGAAATATTAGATTTATCAAAAAATCATTTCAATAATTTAATGGTAAGTTTAAATAAATGATTTATAATGTGAATAGTATATTTAATCGAGTTGAATACATAAATATTGATAGAAAAGAGCTTACTTACTTATTTACGCCTGTTAATCCTAATGGAGCATAGACTGTTGACCAACATTCTCCAATCTACTCTGTCGTGGGCCTTCTTTTCTAGTTTCATCCACTTGTTGTTCATTCTTTCCATGTCTGTCTCCATTTCCCGAAATAATGTGTTTTTTGGTCTTCCTGTTTTCCATTGCTTAGACTTGAGGATTTCATGTGAGGGATTGTCTTGTGATGCAGTTGGGTGTTTACCTCAATATGTGTCCTATCCATTTCCAGCGCTTCTTCCTCATTTCTTCCTCCACTGGGATCTGGTTTGTTCACCTCCACAGTAGGTTGTTGCTGATAGTGTCTGACCAACGGATCCAAAGTATTTTGTGTAGACAACTGTTAATAAACACTTGTATCTTCTGGATGATGACTTTTGTAGTTTTCCAAGTTTCCGCCCCATGCAGTAGTATTGTCTTCACATTTGTATTGAGAATTCTGACTTTGGTGTTAGTTGGCAGATAGTTGTTTTGAGTTCCAGATGTTCATCGGTTGTAAATATACTGCTGCTGTTTTGTCGATCCGCGCATTCATATCTGCATCAGATCCATCTTGTTGATCAATGATGGTTATTACATCTTCGAAATCTTCTCCGTCAAGTGTGATTGGATTGGTGTATGCTGTGTTGTATCGGAGAATCTTGCTTTTCCCTTTGTGTATATTGAGACCTACTACTGCTGCTGCACTGGTCGTCTTTTCCTGCATTTGTTGTTGCGTGTGCGATGGAAGAGCCAGATCATCTGCGAAATCTAGATCGTCCAGCTGCATCTTAATTGTCCACTGTATCCTGTACTTCCCTTCAGATCTTGACGTCTTCATGAGGTAGAAAAGAGCACCGAATATATATGTGCCATACAAGTCACTTCATTTGTATATGAGCTATGATACTGTTCGGGTGCCCAGATCGAAACAGGTGGTTCTCTTAGGAAAGCAGGACCAATCAGGTCTCTAGACTGCTCATATGGGTTTCATGCGCCACTGGTTCGACCGATAATTCGCAGCATCATTACTTATCTATTAACAGGGCACTCAGGTTCACAAGTTATAACAGTAAGGAGATCAAATCCCATAGTAGCCCGTGATCAATAATCGGTTCATACTCCATTTGTTCCCTCAGGATTCTGGAACTCATGTGCACCATTGTTTTGGAATCAGGGTTTTTCAACTCCCCTAGGTTGATCCTCCGTACCAAACCGGTTAAAGCGCCAGATATTCGCTTTTTGTTCTCTCAATTTCGTAAACAACACAAACGCCACGTGAAGGCAGTGAGTAGGACTATTCTGGCAGTGGATGTATACGTGTGGTCATATGAGGAAGAGCCGGCTCTCCCCATTCTCGGCCGTACCAGGGCATTTGGGAGTGACAAGTTATGTAACTCTATAAAACGATAAAGTAGATCATATGTGTTCTTAAAAAAACTATGTCTCGATCAATAATTTTTGTCTCGTAGCATCAATACTTAAAATTTGAACATTGAATCAGTATACCCAAAATTAGCGGTACATTTTTAACTGTTTGTTATCGTAAAGTTTTACGGTCGTGAATTCAATAGTTTAAATCGATATGAAATTATGTGACGGAGTGACGACTATTTATTCTGAAGTATAAACGATATAAATATCAAAATTATTAGTCTTAGATTAGCTGATCATCATCAGAAACAACTGTGGAAAGTTGATATGGTATTTAATAAGGGTATGTTAAATTAATATAACTGCATACTTAGTTTCGAATACGATATGTGAAGGAGCGTGTGACTGTTAAACGCATTAGTTCAATTGTATTGATTAACTTGTTCTCAGTTGTGTTATGAATTCGAATGTCTTAAATGCAAATCCTTCGAATATTCCTCTGGTTGACTACCTGTCTATCTACATATCTTTTAATCATAGTCTATTACTATATCAATCTATAAATACTTGAGACACATTGACACTCTAGATAGTTAAAACTCATCTCAATGTAATGCAGATTAGACCAGTCTTGTGGAGTCCTGGGTATAACTAAAATAACGCATTATGTCACTGAATAAAAAAAAGAGAATTCAGTAAATGTTTTCTTTTCGACGAAATCATTTACTTAAGCTGTACATTCGATCCAGTTTCTTTGATTTTGTAGATTATTTTGAAGAAAGACTCTTTTGCAACAACGCGTCCGGAGTTGACCAGGTTCTCCTGTATTGGACTGGTGATACCTTCGTATTCTCTTCTTAAAAGCCAAGGACACGTGACATATATATGCGAATTTTATGATTGTTGTTCAATTTTTATTATTGTGACGACCTTTATGTTTATCATTTTTCTTCATATATGCCAAGCGGACAATTAGTTTTCGTGATTCTGACCCTATAAATTATTTTCATCCTTCTATTCTTCTCTAACCCCGTGATTATTGCGTAACATCACTTGATAATTGGAGTCTTGAACCACTTTATGACTTAATCTTTCCTATTCATCTATAGACATATATTTACCAAACAACTATAAATACGAATGTACAGCTCAAGTAAATGATTTAGTTGAAAAGTGATTTGTTTTCGCTGAACTGTTTTTCATTTTCTGAATGATGCGGTGGGCTCCAATTGCTGGTGACTCCGATATCCGGCATCAATATAAAACTAATCCAATTATAAAGAGGTCTGATTCTCGTGTTATTCCAATACCATTATTATTTCAATCCAGTTTTGTCCATTTATTTCTACTATAATTTGATTATTTATTACTACTGTACAGGTAAATCAATTCAAGTGATTAGATATACATACAGGAACATTTGTATTCTAGTTCTTATTTGATCTGCTAGGTTTGAAGCTATCATGAGTTCACTTAATCTGCGAACGAGAACAAAGACTCGGTGACAAAGACCAATAAGCTTGATATTCTGATGCGTCCCAGCCCCGCTAACTAGAGGAAGAAGTCCAAGTTTGGAGTGGGGAAGTATATTCTGTAAACATCCAGAAACGAGCGATAACAACAAACACAAATCAAAACTCATTTATACAGCACAAAACCGTCCTTGGGGAGAGTTACCAAATAGCATACTTAAAGACGCAACGGACCAATAGCATTTAATATATTTCCCAAGTAGGAAATATGACATGAAGGTGACAAGAGCGCTTTTGGCGCGAAAGCAAAGGAATTCAAATTTTCTAAATAAAATTACAAAATTAGGTCCATTTCCAAGTGAGTTCTGGGGATCTAACGTTCCCAACATGATCTGTCCTTGATAATAGATGATGAAGATAACGAGTATTATATCAGGACAATCAGTGTATAAGAAGCTAACACAAACAGAATAAACTCCCGACTGGATTAGCAAAAGCCCAATAACTCACAAAATCATCTGAGTATAAACGCAATTAAAACAAAGTGAAAACACATTATAACATAACCAACATGACAAGAAATGAAGAAACATCTTTAATGGTTATTTTTCAAAATAACACTTATACACTTAACCTCAATAAAAAAAATATTTATCAGACCCATCAACAGGCATGAAATTAAATGTGGAAAACAACAAATTGGTCATTCTACCATAAATAAAGGACACAAAAGAAATTCCCACCACATTATTGAGGTCATTTAGTATAAGCATAGCGTATACGTCACCAAAATCATTTCAATCAATATTATGCAAACTAGAAGACGAAATGACTACAGAAAAAAGCTCCGAATATAGTTACAAAACAGACTAACCCAACTACGAGAAATATTACATAGGAAAGAGTAGCGACTTTGTAACTCTTCGTCTACACGGACACAAATTAGTTGTCAAACGCCACAACGAATCTTTGCTTGTATCAGAATATGCTGACAATTTTGAACACGTTCGATTTAGAAAATGCTGAATTACTAAACAAAGGCAACAGAGAGAAGATCAGAGGAATTCTAGAAGCTGGGTATCCAGATCAATAAACATACTGAAATCGATCCAATTTACCAACCAATCAGGAAAATCATAAACAACTACAAGGTCAGGAATTAGATCAACTGGGAGAAACAACCAAAATAAGTAAATAGACAAATACATGATCAATGTTGACAACAATTAATCAAAGTTAATGTTAACAAAACAAGCTTTTAGTCATTGGAACAAAAATTATAATACCATACCTCTATCTAAAGTCTGTAGTATTATTCAGTCGTTATTATTGCATCTCGATTTAGAAGTGGTATCGTACTCCACGTGGAACCTCAAGGTATTGCGCTCAACCTCATGAGCGTCAATGATACACACTGCTGGAAATTCTTATACCCGATGGCGGCTTACATTTCAATGACTATTTAAATGACATAAACTCGTAATGAAACTCACTTTCATATCTGATTGGAGATAATATTAACTAAAAGAAATTAGTAAATAAGGTAGTTTATCGGATAATATTTATTACCGAACAAGCTTACAGTTTTGTTTTCGCAAATTGCTATCGGTGATATTTATACTGAATATAAATAATAAATTTAATATTAGTTGTTGTGGGGTGATTAGCGTGATATTATGAACTTAATAAGTCAATTGTCCCGTTTCTAAATGTGACAGCAGGTAAGGTGAATTCGAATTCCACTGGGCTGATCAGCCCATCGAAGATTCCCGATACACTCCGCTGATGAGTATCAGGTAATATGAAACCTTAATTAAATATAGCTTCCTTGTGATTGTTTCTTACCACCACATTGCATATGATACCAACTTATTTGGATTAATGGTCGATAGAATCTTACTAATACTAAGGATTAGACATCGTATAGTTCTCTTCTCAATGATCCAGCAGTATAAATGGCAATTTTAATTCCTTATATGTACATATATTACATTTCATTTATATAATCTATTATTCTAGGAAATTAACAAAGAATTATCAAGAATGCATTTTCTACGTGAGCTTAATTTGCTTGGAAATCCCGTTGCTCTACAATCGGATTTTAAATCTTTACTACTAAGTTCACATCCAACATTGACTGTTTTGAACAAACATGAAATTTTAAGAGATCAATATAAGTGGAACACATCAAAAACCAATTATTGTCCGAAGGATATTCAGAAACAATCAAGCAAAAGGTTGGTTTTACTTAAGTATTTTTTGGAACTCATTATTTACTCCCATAATTAGTCCACATAAAAAGTTTTATGAATTGATTAATTCATACACTTGATATTGTTTTATTTGAATGTTCCCATTGATGTTTAGAACTGCAATTGTTCAGTCTCTTATTGGCATATGTGCATACTGTGCGTATGCCTCGATATTGCCTTAATTTACAAGCATTATAAGCAAAGATGGATAGTGGCTAGCAGTGGAATCCAGGACGCGCGTTCCGTCCTATTTGGGACTCGTCAGCTGGATGTACTGATCAATCGCAGTCCTAAACATCAATGGGAGGATTCAAGTAAAACAATATCAAGTGAATTAAACTTCACCCCATTGCACAAGCAAGTGGCTATCAGGACTCAGTAGCTAAGTGGATAACGCGATAGCGTTTGAAGCGAACGGTAGTGGGTTTGAGTCTGTTAGGTTTGAAGCTTAACGAGTTCACTTAAATCTGCGAACGAGAACGAGATTCGATTACCAAGACCAGTAAGCTAACTATTGACGCGTCCCAGCCCCAGCTATCTAGAGGGAGAAGTCCAGGCTTGAAATGAGAAATATATTCTGCAACAACCAGAAACGAGCGATTCAACCAAAACAATTTAAAACATATATATATAAATATATATAATCGATATTGTCATTTAAATTTCTAAACATTCGTCAATAAGTTCGTCAATTGATTGTTATTCAAATATTTAAACATTTAATCGATAAAATTACAAATTTGAGTTTTTGGGGAATTTATCGTCCCCAACACTCCTCCCCTTTTTAATAGCGTGCCTTCCTCGGGTCGACCTGCATCATGACTGTTGCTCGCTTTTGTCGTAGAGGCCACCGTCTGGAACGTGTTTCAGCTTGTGGTTGAGGTTTTTCTTGTAGTGGGGTTGCCGGTAAGTTCGAGGTGTCTAGTCTATCAGGATATCCAGAGGAATGTTTGCTTCGGTTGATGAGCGGTCTGCGGCTAACCGTTTGTGTAACTGATTCCGATGGCGTTGCCACGTGTCTCTGCCTACCTCAACTTCGTACATGACTCGGCCAACTCTCCTGACCACTCGCGCTTCCACCCATGGACCATGGGTTGGTCTGTAATCACGGGCAAACACAGGATACCCCACTTCGTAAGTGGATTGCTTTTAAAACTTTGTCCGTTCTGGTGTCGGTGCATTACTTGGATGCATCGGGCTGTGGATCGTCCTCAATTTCCTTCCCATGAGGATCTCTGCTGGGGACTTTCTCTCCGGCAAAGTCTCATTTGGTGTTGTTCGGTACACGTATAAGAAATTTTGCAACGCGTCCGCTGGTGTACCCTCCCCTTTTGTCTTAACCAAAGCTCTTTTAAACGTATCCACAAATCTTTCTGCTTTCCCATTCGACTGCGGGTGGTATGGTGGCGACCGTAAATGCTTTATGGCTAGCCGTTGACAAAATGACTGGAACTGGCTGGAGGTGAACTGTGAACCGTTGTCAGATACAATGACATCCGGTATACCATTTCGTGAGAAAATTTCTGTAAGAATTTGTATTGTTTTGGTTGTCGTTGGCGGTATTATAGGGTTGATTTCTGGCCATTTCGAAAGGGTGTCGACTACAACTAGATACATGGTTCCGTTAATCGGGCCTGCAAAGTCGACGTGTATCCGGACCAAGGATCATCAGGTTGTGGCCATGAAACTGGTGGAACCTTGGCGCTTACTTTTGCCGCTTGCTGACATCGCATACATTTTTCAAACAATTCTGTTATATGTTGATCCATTAGCGGCCAATATGCATGACTCCTGGCTATGGATTTCATTCGCCTAACCCCCGGATGACCAAGGTGGAACTGTTTCAGCACTTTTGCACGAAGGGATTCTGGCACAACCACTCTTTCTCCGAACATCAAGCAATCGTTTACAATGCTTAACGAATCCCGCCGCTGATACAGCTGTTTCTTGTCACCTTCAAACTTCTTAGACGGCCAATAATTGGTGACATATCTCATAGCCATCTTGATGATGGGGTTGCTCTTAGAAGCATGTATGTCGGTTGCAGATACCGGCAAAGCTCGTATTGCGGTTGTCAGGTAACATTCAGCGTGGTCTTCCAAATCATGTGGTTGTTGTCGTAGTTGGGGTTGTGATACCAGGTTGCATATGGTATTCAACGGGACATCAGCTAAATTTAACTGATCGAACCAATCTAACCCGAGTAAATTTAGATCAGTTGGCGTTATGTAACATACCCCAACAAACGCCGAATCACGGAAAGTAACTGTACATTCCATTTGTCCAAGCAGGTGAAGGTAATTACCACACGCAGTACGAGACTTTTGCATTGTAAGCCGCAAGTTTGGGCTGTCCATTTTGGTCCAAATCTTACGTGAGGGGATAGTGACATCTGATGCAGTATCTATCTGTAATGTAGATGAGTGCCCATTAATATTAACAGTAATAAATTTTCTATCACCTGGTGATGAGCTTTGATATGAAGATACTAAGCTCAAAGAATTAGTGCGGGATCTAGGATGGGTCTTTTTATTATTTCTGGATTGACTTGGATTCTTCTTCCTCAGACAAAACCTATCCTTATGACCGATAACCTTACACTTCTTGCATCGATTTTGCTTAAATGGGCAGTTTTGAACGTAGTGCCATGAACCACATTGCCAGCAAGGAGCAGGGACGTATTTGTTTTTGTAAGGTGTCTGTTGCACCGCTCGTACTTCAGATCGGCCAGACCCACCACTCTGGACCATAGAAGTGTCTCGTTGCAGATTAATAAGACGTTGACATTCATAAGCTATATCACTCAGGGTGAGTTTCGGCTCTTGATCCAACCGACTTAGTAGCCTCGTTCGTAAGTCACAGAACTTTTGGTGCTGTAGGCTGCAAATAAGGATCAGGGCTTTAAACTGATCTTCAGTCAAAGACTTTAACCGGAAGCGTTCGCATTTACGGTTGACGACACCCATATGCGTAAGGAAATCATCATCTTCGTTCATAGTTAGCTTCAGGCATCGATAACGAGTATTAAACAGTGACGAGTTATCGCCAAAATGTTTGCTTAATGTTTGAACTGTGTCTGTAAATGATCGATCACGTGAGTTCAAAGGCAGGATCAGTTTGCAATACTTATCCAGCTCAGTTGCACCCAATTTACGAAGTAGTAGCCGCACTTTCCAAGCATCATCTTGATTGGCGAAATCAAATTTAAATAGATCTTCGTAACGTCTGAACCACATCTCAAAAGTAACATTAGCACCAGGATGGTAATGGAATTCAGCTATACTATTTGTGATGCCATCTACCGATGGTGCCGTAGTTGAACTAGACGTGCTTGGCTGTAAGGGAGACGTAACCCTGGTCTCCGTCAACATTTGCATCAATTTCAGCTGCTGCTCAAGTAACAGTTCAAGTTTGGAAGGGTCCATAATTGAAAAACCACCGTCGCCAAATTGTTAGGTTTGAAGCTTAACGAGTTCACTTAAATCTGCGAACGAGAACGAGATTCGATTACCAAGACCAGTAAGCTAACTATTGACGCGTCCCAGCCCCAGCTATCTAGAGGGAGAAGTCCAGGCTTGAAATGAGAAATATATTCTGCAACAACCAGAAACGAGCGATTCAACCAAAACAATTTAAAACATATATATATAAATATATATAATCGATATTGTCATTTAAATTTCTAAACATTCGTCAATAAGTTCGTCAATTGATTGTTATTCAAATATTTAAACATTTAATCGATAAAATTACAAATTTGAGTTTTTGGGGAATTTATCGTCCCCAACAGAGTCCCAGAGTGAACATCAACTCTGAGATGCAGGTACATCCAGCTGATGAGTCCTAAATAGGACGAAACGCGCGTCTTGGATTCTACTGCTAGCCACTATCCATCTTTGCTTATAATGATTAATTGATACTTTGTATTTGAGGCTCATTATACGAATCAATCGTATAGACATGAACATTGTAATAGAGTTGAGGTGATTCATAGCTTAGTAAGCTATTATTGTCGTACTATATAGGCATTTCAAAGGAAACTTAACCATGATGATCTATGTCTAAAGTGTCACTTCGTACTAATTACACGAGATATGATTGAGTATTCTTAATCATTGTAATACTACTGCTAGGGAATTTATTTGGGTTGAACATTTTAGTAACATAGAAGATTTAATCTTGTGATAGTTTTTATTTAACTTCAGCATTGTTACAACACATGATCATATAGTGCTGTTTTTCTCTGAAAACTGATAGGTTTGCTATTGCTGACATCCTAGCCGCTTCGTGCAACTCCAGACAAATTCAATAATTCAACTTGAACAACAAAGAAAAAGAGCGATCTATGAGTAAGAGGTTAAGTACAAAAAATCGAGTAAAGTTGTAGTCCCTATGACCTTGGTTGTTTAGAACTTTCGCGAAAACATACTAAATATAGTAATGGTATGGGTAATTATCCAGTCAAAAACGACACGCGATCCTTCACATTTCTAGATGTTTCTGGGCGCCATCTGTTCGATGCTCATTAAATAAAACATTTCCTGGATTTTTATGGGCTTCAAGAAACTAAGTCGAGGGATATTTTCGAACTCCACAACACTTTTCTTCGTTAAGGAAAAAATATGATTTTTTTCTCAGGTCTATTTTCAGACTGATGATTGGGTTACGTCTGCGTTCATCTTCCCCAGTTTTTTCTGATCCTCTCCTTTCTTTTTTGTATTATCCTTTGAAGTGTCCGTAAGTATATCCAGCAGAAAATTCCCCTGTACTACTAAACAAAAACAATAATGATTTTTTAAAATGTAAACCCTACTGAACTCTTAACACTAACTACTTAGTGAGTTAAATAATTACTTGCAAATAACCGATATCATGTTCACATTCAGTCACACTGTAGTGGAGAGAACACGAGTAGGGAACAACCGAATGTACTTATCGCAAAATTACAGGACTTGTTAATAAAATCTAACAATCATAAAGTAAATGCTTAATTTGCAAAATGTCCATCGATTATCTCAAAATGACTCAGACTACATTGTTCTTGCATTTTCATATAAATTCCATTCTGTTTCCATTCTTTACTGTTCGATCCTCTTGTCCCTCTGCTGCCAGACCTTCTGTCTACAACTATCATATACTACTTATGTCAATATAAGTAACACACACCACAACACAACTGATCTAGGATAGTAAGATAATTTACATCAAGAAGTGATTTTAGTTAGTCAATCACTGAAAAACGTGGAGTACTGGATTTGTTTCGTTTATTAAAACTTATTATGAGTTAGCTGAAGTTGGAACTGTGTGTTGATGGATTTTAATTCGGTGTGGTTGGAAGGTAAAATGTTTGACGCAAGACTTTTAGGCCCGTTGGTCGAAGCCTGATAGAGTTATGACTGTTCATTGTAGTTGCCTGCTATAAACATATCTAGTGTAGAGCATTCAGATATCCCGGATGAAAAACACGTGGTGAAAGTTAGAAATTGAAAGAAAAATTACATTCTGATATGCAGCATTTACGCGCCAACTGAAAGTCCTCAATATGACATACTTAACGAATATTAAAAAAACATTTCGGATAACTTCAGAGGTTATTTTATATGAAATGTATCCAGATTTTAGAATGTTATCATGAAGACTTTGATTACCTTATACACTGTCAAGTCATTGAAATACAACTAGTATTCACTTGGTGTTGTTTACTTGTATCTTTCCATTATTATTTAGGACTGAAATTGATCTCTCTCTTGTTGGCATATTATCTGAAGTCACAAGCTTTATAAGCAAAGATGGATAGTGGCTAGCAGTGAAATCTAGGACGCGCACTACTTCGTCCTACTTGGGACTTGTCAGCTGGATTTACCTGAGTCCCAGAGTTGATATTCACTCTGTGACTCGAAATCAGTACCGTTCGCTTCAAACGCCATCGCGTTATCCACTTAGCTAATATTCACCTAGAAATAAAATTCAATATCTCATATCTTAATACAGTTGTTGAATAGGTTAAAGAACATGTGTTTTAATCTAACGCAATAATAGGAAATATGTGATTATGAACTGACAGGAAAACGAATAATTCACCTTACCAATATGCTTGTCGAAAGTAATAAGAAACGTATTCAATTTTTGTATGTAATTAAATTAAACGAGTGAATGAAAGTCAGTGTTAATATTCAAGATATTTTGCAGAGGAATATGAAAATGGGAATCAGGGGGAAATATTTGCCCCCAAATGCCCTGGTACGACCAAGTGTGGAAAGTCCGCTCTTCCTCTCAAAATACTCTCACATGGTCACGCGTACATAGCCACTGCCAGGGAAATCCTACTCACTGCCATCTCGTTACCAGCCTTTATTTTTATGACCAAATATTCCAGAGCAATTTTAATTCCGTCGGAGTTAATTTGAAATAGTTAGATTCATGAATATATGGCTTTTATGGATCTATATTCAAACACCAAAAAGATTTAGACTTATTTGTTAAACATTCACAATGATTATTAAGTAATAACATGTTTCATTAGTTTAATCCTAAACGATGATTGAATTCTTTCAATTAATAGGCATCGTATATCCTATGTTTTAATGTAAGTTAGAATTTATAAGTAGGGATTATTTCCTATATTTAGAGGCATTATGCACTTCATAGGATTTGATCCTGCATTAACCAATGCTAGACATTACTTATTTTCCGTCAGCTCTTTAGGTAACTGATGTGAACCGGTTAAGCCAATCAGCCTATCGCATCAAGGTCTTAATCTGGATTAGACAAGTATCCTCGGCACCAAAAAGTGGGTAGACAAATCAAGGTCATAACAGTAACCTTTCTTCATATACAAGATTATCATTAATACATTTCTTTTTTTTTTCTCTTCTTGATATACTGTTTTCTTGATTAATAATAATGTCCAATAACGAGTGTCATTTGAGCTTAAGTAAACCTAAATATAGCGTTTTTGAACAAAAATATACAAATCAGTTTCACGAAACAGTGTTTATTCTATTCTTTGAAAAAATTTAGTTTCACTCTTCTTTAAAATAGTCATAAGTCAGTCAGCTACAACGTAGGACCAGGCACATATGTGTATCGATCTAAGCTGCCACACCTCATCAGCACATGATGAACAACAGAGTCATAGTAGTTAATTCAATGGTGGTATTATATATAAAAAAGACTTCATATAAGGATATTGCACAGGAAGAAAGAATTAGTTGGTAGAAAGATATAAAGCAATTTTAATCTCACGATTTAAGGGAGTACAAAGATTGTATACACCCACACCGATTCTGAGCCATGTTACACAGAGTCTCCAACCATTGGTTACGATAGTCATGCCGACCACAACCAAGTAATCTGCATATACCAACATGACTCAGACTAGAAGTTAGTGAATTCAAGCACTGATGCCACGTTTTGGTTCGACAGCCCCTAAATTTCTTCCAACCGCCCCCAACACTAGTCAGCATTGCGCATTGTGGTAATCGGTGGTTGGGCATGCGCAATACGTGACCTAACCATCTCAGTCGATAAAGGTTCACAATCTCATCGACTGGTTTACCATCATTCCTTTATACATTGCGTTTAACCTCACTATTACTTACCCGGTGATCCCAGCAGATACGAGCAATATTTCTAAGCCATCTACTGTCAAATATTAGTAACTTACATGTAGCTTCTACTATTAACGGCCACGTTTCGCAGCCGTACAGTAGAACAGAACGAACTGCCGCGCAGTATACTCGTCCCTTAGTTGATAGACGGATATCTCGCCTGCGCCATAGGTGACGTAAGTTGGCAAAAGCCAAAGAATATTTTTAGTTCAGAATGAGGATATTGTTTTATCCTAACTGGTTGAACTCATTATTAATACTGTCATTATACAGTTGTGGTGTGTGCTACTGATATCGATAGATGTAAATAGTATGTATCATTAATCGAAAGTGAAATACCGGGCGGCAGAAGATCAAAAAATACAGAACGAGAATAGAGAATGATTGGTTTAGGAAGGAAAGAATAAGCAAATGTGAGACGATTGTTTGACAACTTGCAAATGAAGTATTTACTGTATGGTTCTCAGATTTTAACAAAATGTTCTATAATTTGTATTCAAATACATTCGATTGTCCCTACTTGTGTTCTAGTTCACTACACAGTGATTACTAACATTCATTTAGAAGTAAATGGAAATTGATCAACTAACCGTATATTGTTCATTTAAAATATTTATGTATAAATATAGTTATTCCAAACAAACTATCTCTGTAATCTATTTTTATGTAAATCCTAGAAAAAGAAACGTACCTATCCAAGCAGAAACTCATGAAAAACTAGTCCAATCTCCAATGAATCCTGACAAAGAAATTGAAATATTTGAAAAAAATTTGAAAAAAAGATTTCAAGCCAAAACGATTACAGAATTTAAATGTTTCGATTGGTCAACGATACCAAATAGTGAAATGAAACGATTAAATTCAAGAACTACTGAGCCGAAAAACATTGTAGTTCAATCACAATTGTAATTCATGTGATCATATAGAAGGAAATAACAAAATCCATAAATAGAATTGAACACAGTTTTAGTGACATTAACTATGAATAACAGATCACTGAGTAGTTATCAATGCCATATTTATCTGATCTGTTGACCATAATTAATATAATAGCTCGGTGATGATACGGTTTCGAACCAAACAGTCAGTACCAACTCCCACAAAATCGCAGGTACGCGTTGTCGAAGAATGCAAACTAGCATAAGGTCTAAGTCTAGAGCTTTCTGTTGACTATATCCAACCACCTAGAAATTGGTTATGAAGATAATTATATTTTTATCCGTTGAAGATACAAAGAAATGTTGAAATTCATTTGTAGAAAGCAGGGATTATTCTGTGTAGATCATCTTCTCAACGGTATTTAATTACTAAAGCTAGTTGTTGCATCATTAACGGTATTCGGAAATTCAAAGTACGAAGACGAAGAGTATCAGAACTATGTGATATATTAGCGCAATAGATCTTGAACAATCTGATTACAATTATACAAGTTAAAAACATGAAAAGGTCGAACAGAGGGTAGGAGGAAACGATGATAATAAAAATATGAAAACTTATCACTCTGGATAATAAGCTAATAAAACCACGGTAGGTTTGATGTGAGAACAAACTGTTTTTTAATACACAAATGGAGTTTGAATTTTCGTGTGGCTAAGGCTTCGATAGACCATAGTATACGTCATTTAACGCTTTTGTACAACACCAAAAATGCCGTGTTACAATCAATCTTACGACCTATTTCAACTAAATGTTTGGGATGATGGATGTTTATCATCTACTCTTATTGGGACATTTGAATTTAATTGTTTTTGCAACCATTTAGGCATATGTTCAGATGCCCTAATTTGGAGATCATGATGGCTCCTCCCTATGTATGTGTGATCACATACATTTAAATTAGTAAACACAGTGGGATGTGACGCAATCATTTCCAGGTCTTTTAGGTTTTGGATGAAGTATGGATCTCGTTTTTTTCTTGATAATGATCTTTCATGTGTAGTACGTTTTGTTAATAACCGATTTAAGTTTTTTTAATAAAAGGCGATTCGACTGATCTTTTAAAGGTAAGGTGATGTAGACAGCTATTTTTGTGCCAAAGCTATAGGTTTCACTGTACTGTAAACTTTTTATCGATTTATAAATTTTTGAAGATAAGACTTTCCATTAATGTTTTGTCCAACAACCTAACTTCGTCATCAAGAGAGTCATAAAGTTAAGTAATCAGAGTTGATTATTATGTAGTAGGCATTTGATAGCCGAAGAGAACATGACTTTTTTTAGATAATTCTTCGAGTACAGCAGTCTTCAAAGGCATAAATGAAGTATAATACGAATTGAGAACAGAATAACTTATTTTCATTTGGTTTAATCGCCAGACTTTTATTTATTATGCTTACAAGTTCGAACACCTATACACCTATTTTAACTATTCTGCTTTCAAACACATTATGACTTAAAGCTCAGAAGTCAGATCCAGCGTAATATTTTAATCTTCTACTACCTGTTGTCATGTCATTATACTTTAATGAACAAAAACATAGTTGGGGATGATCAAGTGTATCGTGATACAAAATTAAAGTCTTGGTAAAACATGAGAATCATACATAAAATACATCATTTTCAAATTTTTATCACTTTTCTTCCACATTCTGTATGATTCTTCTGATTTACAATTTCTTTCTAATTGCTTTAAATCAACTTTCATAGCCTTCTGATACCACGTTTTCCACTTCCGATTGGTGCTACGTACTACTTATATCTGTTGACATAATTAGCATACAATACAACACTACAGTCACAGAGAACCTTAACGAATACATACATTCACAATTAAGGCTGTACTTTCAAATCAAATCATTGAATTAGGCCATGAGTTACCAGTTTATACAATTAAAGCTGAAATCTTAATAGGTTTAATGAAATATTTAACAGTCCAAAACAAGATAAAATGCTATTGAGTTCAATAGTAGTTTATGTTGATAAGAACAGTTTGTTGACCAGTCTTATTTGATGATAATATACAACTGTAGGACGATTATTTAATAAGAAACAAACAGTCCAACCATTTGTGTTTAAAGTAGATTATCAATAAATTAAAAAACAAGACTGATAAATAGATCTATCTACTCAAACAACAAGACTTAAGGAATGATATATGTAAAAATAAACTGTCTAAAGCTTCACAATTAAACTTCAAAAACACTGATTCTACACTAGCTATTGAGTATTCTTTGGATGATGATCAATGGTACTAGTTTTATTAGGTATATTACACAGATTTCCGAAATTCCTACAAAATACAACAAACGAAATCCACTGTGCCGTTGAAGAAATAGAAACAATCCAAAGAAGAAAATTACCTTGCCGACAATAATCTTTACTGAAACTGTACACTTTAATAGTTGAACCATGAGTCGATAAACACTTCACCACTATTGAATACTTGCAAGCATTGGAAGGCCGTTTCGTCTTAGCGCGAAACTCCTCAGCGATGAGCATCCACAATCCCACATACAGGACTCAAACCAAGGCCCTTCGATCTCAGACGCGAATGCCTAACCTCTAGACCACAGAGTCAACATCCAATGATGTTAATGTAACTGTACAGCTGTATTTTTTAGTGATTTAATGAATGAAGGATCGGTGACATGCACCAGTAAAAATAAATACATTCTTATGTATCCAACCCCGCACTTTTTTAAATGCTTATTTGAAATAAACAAAATTACAAAGCAACTTTCATTCATTTAAGAATTTCATAGAACGTCAAATCTAGTATCTCAAATCATCTCAATACATATAGGAATGTATATTCTTTTGAAATGATAAAGGTGTTGTCTACTCTGAGCTGAATGATATCCTCCGAGAGCAGTTCATTGTCTTTCTAAACAACAATATTCTTATTATACTTCATAAAGACAACGAAATGCTTCAAAAATAAATAAACCAATCCATAAAGAATACGATACCTCATTACATCACTTTCTACATACATGGAGAAATTTGCAACAAATACTATAAATACACATTTATTCTTGACAATCCATGAGAATAATAAAAATAATAATGGAACAAAAGATCCATATTACTGTGACCTAAGAAAACCGTACTGTAATGTTGATCATAACAGAAATAAACAGTTGCATGGAATACTTTTTTAAAAGAAAACAAAAACAATGATGATAATAATATGAATACAAGTTGAATATAATCATAAACAAACAAACAAACAGGGTAATGTACATAAAGAAACCAGAAGAAAATATTTTTGCACAACTTCTTTGTTTATGTTTTTTTCGTTAAAAAAAATTTACAAAATTAAACAAACAATAAGTTAATAAGTACCCACACGAAGATATATATATATATATTCATTTTTCTGAGTGTATGAATAACATTATATGCATATAAATTACTTAATGTATAACAGGAATTAGAAAATCAATAACATTAGTGCTTTTATACACGTGACAAGTTTAATATCCATCTAAATAGAGCAGAAAACAAATGGAGTACACATCTACGTCTACTGAACGAAGAATTTCACCATTAATGTGATAGGAAATAACTGAGTAGAAATGAATCAGTAACACTAGACACTACTACTTATTTATCAACAATAACAGTAGTAGTAGTAGTGTAGCAGTAAGAGGAGTAATAGCAATAATAATGACAATGAAATAGGTCACACAAAGAGAAAGTGATGTTGATATATTTTTTTCATGATTTTATTATGTATTATAAATGAATAAATATGAACGGATGAATGGATGGCTACTATGCAGATGAAATTATACACATATGAATAAAAAGCAAAATATTATACCAGTGTTTAAGCATACACATACAGAAAAAGAAGACGATGAAGATCAGTATTTAAAATTATTACTACCATTAATATTAAATTACTGAGGAATTACTGACGTATATATGTATAAATGAGACAAAAAGAAACGATAAAATAAATAAATTATTCGAATGAGACGACAGTTCGAGTCCAGTCAATATACAGTTTTGAAGAGAGAAGTTAGTGCTTCTTAGATGAAAAAATAAAACACATAAAATTACAAGACACATACACACACAAACAATGTGTGTTTGCTTAGTTCAACGCTGCTGTCATTCTTAACATGTAATGTCCACCGAAACATACACATACACTCATCAATTCACAAAAGAGGAAATAATTACAAATTACAATTATTCTTTGGTGATATATTATAAAGTAAAGATGAGAAGAAAAGAACCATCACCTGAGTCACAAGGGAAGATCACTTGGTTCTGACAACATAACATAATAACAATTACCATTCCAATCAATGAAGAAAATTTCAAAACAATCCATAGAATCACAGTTTTATTTATTATTTAAATGTAATAAAAGCAACAAATGAACTGAAAACAAAGTTTAAATTTTATGTAGGAACTATTCGACAATGTCTACATAAAGCTGATCAACATGTTTTGATTTCGTTTGATGCATTTATTGCTGTTGGTGCTAAGATTCCACTTTGGAGACATTTTTATGATTTACTAAATCCAATGGATTATAATCACCAAAATAACCAGTCCTGGTGCCTTTATTAACAATTAAATTATTATTGGTAGATTTCTGTTGAACATTAGGATGATGATTGTTCAGTTGACAGTTAGAGTTTGTGACAATAGAACAACAACCATTGAACATGTTCAATGCTTTGCTAGATGATGGATAACAATCACCATTTAATTGTGAACATTCAGTGGATTGAGTTAATTTACTTTTAACCGGATGATCATTTTGTTGAGTGTACATTTCAATATGATGAATAGCATTATCATTAGTGCCGTTGGATAAAATTGAATCTATAGGGGGATTTGTAGAATTTATTTCTTCATCCATTTCATTCCAATGATTCAAATGGGATTTATTGTCAGACCAATCCAAATTGTTAGAGGTACCATCAATCATATGATTGTTACCATTAGTCAAATAATTATTTCGGTCCTTTGCAAGGATAAAGATTTTTTTAAAAGATAGGAGAAGCGGTGAGTAACATTAAGTATTGATAACAAATACACACGTAAATCAGTGAAGACCGATTCAGTCATATAATGATTAAGTGATTGCCACGAAATCTGAAGATCTTAGATTCGATCGCCGACGAAAGCGTAGATGCACATACTAGGAATAAAGCAGCTGTCCAGTGCATTCTGACTTTCAGTGGTTATTTAAAGTCAATTGGTAATATTAACTATATCCTTATATATTAAGCCAGATGTTTACTATGATTGTTTACAAAGCATTTAGACATAAATAAGCATACACAAGCAGTCAGTATCACAATGATAAATAATCCAAGAACATCCACTTATTTTACTATAGCTTTGCATTCTATGAGCTGGAATATTTAATTGTAAAGTTTCAATTGTCTTATCACCAGACAATACTATAACAAATATCACATTTCCAAAATATCAATTTACAAAATCTTTCCATTAAGAACACTTAATTAGATAAGATATTTTTGTAACAGTAGTACCGTTGAAGCTACCGATATCAAAATAATCTATTTTGATATTCTTTACATTGTTAGGTAGAGGGAACAATTCTAAATATATACATAAATAAATCCCTTAAGGATATATCAAAACTTAAACAAGTATAGTATATATAATACTTTTTCAATAATTTGCACAGAATAAGTCAAATTTTCAAATCACTTCAAAACACATTATAGGCAGAAATAACGGTAACTAGCAGTGGAATCCAGACGTAACTTTGACCCTAATTTGGAACTCGTCAGCTGAATGTGCCTGCATTCCAGGGTTGATTTTTACTTAGAAAGTTTAACCTAGTACCATTTGCCGCAAACGCCATCGCGTTATTCACATCAAGTCCCAGAGTAAGCATCAACTGTGGTATCCAGGTACATCCAGATGACGAGTCCCAAATCGAACGAAACGTGAGTTCTGGATTCCACTGCTAGCCACCATCCATCAATGTTTATAATGCGTGTGAATTAAGGTAATTCGCACAGCATGCACATATGCCAATAAGAGACTGATCAATTGCAGTCCTAAACATCAATGTAAAGATTTGAAAAAGCCAATACAAAAATGAATTGAAACACAATGTTATTGGTTATAACATCATTTTCATTTAGGTAGGCAGTAATGTACTCTTTAGATGTGAACAGGTTAATTTGTCAAGTACAGCACTTATGCATTGCTTAAGCTTAAACCATATTGGTTAGTGTGAGATCTGGTGATATTATATAGCCTGTTGTTGTGAAACGGAAGTGAATGAGGAAACAACTGACGATAAACAAACAAACTTATCCACCAGGCACTTCAGTATGAGTCTCACTTTGAGTATGGGGGTTAATGGTACACTACCTGGTTGCGCAAACCGAAGTTGAATAGGGTTTGGACCTGAGACTTAGTTACTGAATGTCGAAGCCTTAACTTTGTATATTGAAAAAATATAGTTCGCTCAAACGAATCTTTGCATGTATATATTTCGTACACCAGATTATATGTCTACTTGATCATGATTTATGAACAAAAGCTTTAAGAGAAATGGAAAAAGCACGATCTTACTAAGACTGGGATGAGAGTATACTTTAGTAAAACTGAAAAAATAATGAATATCATGATTGCAGTCGTCTTAATACACTATACAAATTTATCAAACGGACTAATTGCTTTGAATATCATGGTTGTTTACAATTGATTATAAGCTAATTTATTCGGCAAAATGAACTAAGTCTTACTACACAGTAATCACTTCCCTAAAACAATAATAACATTAAAACAACTGCATACTTGTTCATCAATTTGGTCTGAATTATGAGGTAACTGTTCAGTAGGAGTAGAATTTGATGAACTTTTCTGTGAAAATTGATCCGATGAACTGTGATCTGACAAATCGTCCATCTGATTTTCATCTATACTATTATTGATCGATGATGAATAAGTAGGTTGGCATACAGATATTGTAGGACCTCCACCATATATATTGAAGAGAAGACTCCATACTTCAGCGGAAACACATTCGTAATTACCAAGTGGTATTGATGAAAGAGTAGGATAATTAAGTGATCCACTATTACGATAGGAATAAAGGGATTTATTGCATGGCATAATGTCGGAATTATCAATTGGACCTGGAGCTTCTGTAGTGGAGAAATATGTATATGCATAGAACAATATTAAAATTAACAAAATGCTGCGTATACAACAGAAATTCATTTGTACTAGTGTTAAAATGTATATCATTATCAGAAGACTCATCAACAATATATATAATAGATCTATACGCGTAAACGAAAATGGTAAAACAGAGTGTATATGAATAAGAATTTAAATCAGAGATTAACAGTCAGTGGGATTCGTTCTGAAGCATTCAATGAAAAATTTTGATGAGCTTGAAAGCGTAGAAAAAGACACAATACTGGGCAAACAAATGTGTAAATCAATTAGTCTGAGAACAAAAGACTATATTTGTTAAATTATTTCTACTTGTTTACAAGGAAAGGTCGAAATCACCTAGTGATAATTTAAGAGTGCAAAAAGGAACAGTCGAACAAAGTTACAGAGAGACAGATTTCATAAACATGGAACCGGGCACAGATGTGCGCCCGAGTCTCCATACTACATTAGCATGAACAGATGAAAATAAAACAAATAAAAATAATTCAGCAGCAACGGCAAAAAGAATAAACCTTGGTAATATCGTTTAAAAAGACAGTGGAAAGGTATGTGTGAACGAGTATTAGAATTCAAAATCAGAAGAAAGATAAAGAGTGAGGGCATCGTAGCCATTATGAATGATTTTGAGCTAGATCACATAACGTCTTTCTAATCGGTAAGTCGCAGTTATCGCGCGGACCTTAAATAGATGGTCAGCAGCTAACAACATGGTCACAGAGGTAATTAATAAAACTTGCGCAACATTTCCATCTGAGATAATGATAAAGAATGTTATCCAACTAAGAACAGGTACTCTCGCTACTTTCAGTTATGCATATTAGTAAAAATAACTATACCAAAACTTTTAAATGTACGAAAAAAATAATCATCTGTGATGAGATCAGAAACGAGAAAGTCTAACTGATTATTAATACTTAGGTTTGAAACTGTGACCTATTATTCACAACGTATTTTGTAAGCGAAACCTAGATACCTGACAAATATCGTTCCTGAAATTAGAGATACTGGATGTTAATTACAATTTATCAAAAGAGAAGAGACAGTATAACATAAAAACCCTTTCTTCTCATGTTCCATGCATTCAAACTCTTTAGCTATTCCTGTCCATTTATTCAATGATTTTCCCATCCATTCACGGATTGAAGAGGTTGAACGTATCGAATGCTTCATTTATATTGGGAACCTCATTAGACCTGATGGTTTACCATCTGACGGAAACTCGGCACAGATTCAGAAAGTTCGATTGGCTTCTGCCAATTTGTGTCACTTATAGGATAGGAAAAAGTTCCATCTACCAAAGAAAGGGCGAGTTTAATGAGCAGCAGTTCGTTCCGTTCTACTGTACGAATGTGAAACATAACCATTAAGAGTAAAGAGTATTCGCAGGCTACTTGTATTTCATCACATGTGTCTAAGAAGAACTTGTATCGGATTTGGGGACCGCCAAGTAAGCAATGTCTGGGTTGCAGATAAGCTAATAGATAAAATGGCGAATCCATTGGCAAGGTAGTAAATCTATATCAACTGAGGTTTGGAAAATGTGGTACGTATGTCCAATCACAGCCTACCTCAAAGTGTGATGCTTTCTGAAGCAGAAGTAGGGTGGAAGGAAGCTAAGAGCGACAAAACCAAACATGGCATCAATTCATGGAGTCACTTACAATTGGACGTCGCCATGTAAATAGGTGCAGACTATCTGGTTGGGGTCCATATGATTATAGTAACCAACAGTCAGAGAATTTGAATGACATGGCTCAGAATCGTTTGCAATAGCGCAGGTGCATCCGTTCTCTGTATTCACCAAATTCTGAGCATACGAATTCCTCATAACTATTTCATCATCTGATATCTCCTTGAACCGTATCTTCGACCCCTAATATTTTCAATAACTACTGATACTGTCACTATCTCTACTGCTTTGGGATTTGGATTGAAAATTTTATTTTGCTGTGCTAATAAGATATGCCAAAATTTAACCGATGTACATATGTACTAGGTTCTACTTTGCGACTAACTGGATTAGTGTCTATCTAAAATCTATGACTCAGTAAAATACAAGCTGAAATATTAGAACGAAAAGCGCCGATTCTGAACTTAAGTGTATAGGACGTAATGTGCGTCTTAGATTCCACTGCTAGTCATATACTAAATATACTAAAACTTATGACAACGTTTTATCGAGAGAATCCACCCAGGGTGAATATACAGCAACAGAGACTGATCAGTATCAGTCTGGAATATAAAAAACCGGAAATTGCAAACCTTTAGTAACGTATAATTGATAATTGTGAAAAAAACATTCCAAAATAAACCAAGAAATCCAATAAAAATCATTCTTCTGAATCACAATCCCATATTCCGAGTGAACAGAATTAAACAAACTATTCTAATACCCTATACAAGTCAATAAAAAAAATTAAGTGATAATCCTGTTTATTGGTGAATACACGTAACGAGAATAGTCGATCTCGCGCATCGGGTGAGAAAGAAACGCAACAGGGATAGTTTGGCTACTCATAAGTAGTATGATTATGTTAAAAATGAATTACTGGCACAGCCAATTGGAAAACATTATCGATTAAAGATCTTAAGTCACAGGATTTTCTAGGATTATTTAAAACTGGTGATAAGTGATTATAGCATTGTGACATGGTACTGATATCAATACAAATTACTATACAACAAAATAGTCATTGATTTGTCAATCAGTATGAACAAGGTATTTTTAATTAAAAAAATGAACTGGTCTAGGTTAGAACACCGATGAGAAGCATTGGATGAAGGTCGTGTCTTATTAGAGATTAGCCAGCTGGGAAAACATTCAACCATGTTGATGCAAATATTGAGACTCGAACGCAGTACATTTCGCTTCAAACTCAAACGCATTGTATACTTAACTGCTTAGTCCAGATAATTGCCGGTTTCTGCAACCGTGGGAAGTTTTAATTTTCCCATTATTGATGACTGAATAATCACAGTTCTTAACATTAACAACGAGAACATTCAAACAACCCTTATAAATTAAGTGACTCAAGAAATAGTTATTGATTATTTCATACATATGAACAAGATGAGAAAATGAACACTTCGTTATAAATATTCAGATATTTCCCAGTTGAACTTACCCCATATTTGTCCTTTGACAAATTGAAGCCATACATCCAACCATTTTTTACTGACAGCATAAGATGTGGACGATGGAGTGACCGACGAACTAACCTATAATAGTTACAATTCATGAAAAGTCAAAAAATGTTAAGCTAACAAAAAACACACTTATTCATTGAAAATAAATCAGTTGTTTCCCATTGAATATTTTAGACAAATTATGATACTAGTAAGCAACATTCAATATGAATAAAGCATCGTTTTTTGAAACAACTCGAATAGATTTACATATGGCCTGTACTTCTTTTGTTTTAGTGGAGTTTCATCCTTTTAGTTGGATGATTTAATCATGAAACTTTCATTGTTCTTCGAGATGATATTATTAACAGACAGTCTTCACGTAGAAGCGATCGATTCAAATTTATCTACATATTATGACTGATAGTTTGTCCTGTCAATTTTGTTTTGACTGGTTACTGTTAACCCTTAAACTGTTGTTGTCTACATATTTATTTTCAATGTCTCTTCCTCTGACTTGATTCGTGATCTTATATTTGTGCATGATTTTTATAATTGATAAATTGGATCGATTTCAACGTGTTTATTAATTGATTGTAGATTGACCTGGGTGGCAAGCTTGTAAAATTTGTCTGGTGTTCTTAGTATTCCATCTATCCGAAATTTGAACGTTTTTTCATGTCACTATGCGTCTAAAATTGTCCACATGTATTGATATAAGCGAAGAAACATTAAGAAGATTGACAGCTAGTCTCTATTCGTCCAGACGAAGATGAAGGGGGAATCCTTCGCAGTCTTACAGTAGAACAGAACGAATTGTCGCGCAGCATACTCGTCCCCTAATTGATAGACGGATATCTCGCGTTTGCCAAAGGTGACGTAAGTTGGCAAGAGATAAACAAGCTTTTTGAACCCGTGCTGAGATTGATCAAACTAATCCCTCTATGGTTATCACAGGATGATTTTGACCTCTTCTTATATATTGGGACAATCAATGATTGCGACCAGTCAGATGGGATCACATTCACATAGCCGAGAGTGGGGAAAGTCCGATCTCCCTCCCCAAATGCTCTCATATGGCCACGTGCATACAACCACTGACAGGGAAGTCCTATTCACTGCCTTCACGCACCGGGGATGATGTTTACAAAATTGAGAGGACGAAAAGTGAATGTCCGGTGCCTTAACTGGGTTGTTGATCGGTATGGAGGATTAACCTAGGGGAGTTGGAAAACCCTGATTACAAACCAATACTGGATTTCCTTACATTGCTCCACTGCCTTGTAGATCAAACCTTTAGGTCGAAAGCTCCGGGTGTGGTCCCCTAAGAAAACCACCTGCTTCGATCTGGGCATCCCGGTAGCAACACAGCTCACACACAAATCAAGTGATTTGTGTAGCCCATATGTATTCGGTGCCTTCTTGTGCTAATATTTATGTATTTAAGTAATAATAAACAATATAGTTGAAGATTTACATTGGATCAGTAATATGTAGTAACATATTGCATTCATAAATTAGAGAAATAATCCTTAATCTGTCAATATGAGCTGTGTCAACTTTTCTTCTAACAATAAAGCACGAAAAATCAATGACCATTTCAACAAAAAAATGAATAAAATCATAATTACCCTCATAATCTCTGACAGTTCATATTTCTGTCTTTTGGAAATAGTATCAGAACAATCACTACATGGGATTAATTCTTGAATAATTTCATGACCGCCAAACCTATAATTTCGAGAAAAATAAAGCAAATAAAATAGATTGAAGAAAAACACAAATAGTAGACAAAATCATGAGATTTATACTCAATAGGATACTACAAATATACTTTATTCATATTGCAAGAATTATCTATTTGAATTATAGATTATATATATATAGATATTGCGTCTACGCAGCTCGAATGTGAACGTCGGATCATAGAAGAATTAATCCAAGACAATTTAGAATCCAACAGGAATATGTATCTCATTTGAATACAATGAAAGAGGAAGTTAACAAAATAAGAACGGCAGGGGAATTGATTATTTTAACCACCAGTGGAAAGGTAAACACAAGAAAATAATTCAGAAAGAAATTGAAATAACATTGATGAATGAAAAATTGAGGATTGATATTTTGAGAAAAAATGATTATCGGTTAATAGAACAGCGATATCGTGATCGATTTCAACCTATAATTCTATAATCCACCACGCGAAGCTTAGCTAAACATACGATCACTCTATGAAACGATAACACATCTTGATTTGTCCACCCCAGATTTGTTTTCAACATACTTCTGTCTCATTTAGCTTTGCGCGTCGCCGTAATTGATAAGCTAGACAAACATTATATGTGTCCCGATTGACTAAGTCAATGAATCCAGAACAATACTGCTGCAACCTTAGAAATAAATTTATACAACTAGACGTTAATCAAATAAGACATTGAATATGTAAGGACGGCCCCAGGTGAACTCAAGGAAGCTTGGAAAGAGCCGAAGACATGCCATCCAACCATTTTTCAAAAGAACATTTCAGAATCTCAATGTGTAGCTTCCCGTTTGAACAAATGCTAAAGATCACTGCATGAGGGGGTTGGATGACTATTATGATGATTTCATTTTTACTAAAAACTATAAATACCTAAATGTTTTGTACCATATTTGACATTGTTTGGAATAAGATTCCCTCCCACTAGTCTTCTGTCTTTTAACTCGCGACGTGGAGGTTTCTAGTGTTCGAGTGCTTAAGTAGTACGCGGCTTAGTAAGAATCTAATTTCTAGACAATAACAGAATCATAGACTGGCTGAATAGAAAGAAAATTGTAGAGTGACTACCTTATCAGAGTCAATTGATTGATGTTTTAATCCACTTAAACTATAGCTTTTACCCATCGATTTTCGCTCATCTAAACAACTATTATTCCTTATACAAAACAATAAGAACAAGTGATTTTTAGCGAATAATAGACGCACACACACGAACAGACAAAATACAATCCATAAGCACATGATTTAGAGATAAATACAAGCACACAAAAATAGTAAAAACTACATACAAAAGGGATCTCATGATTACCAGAAATGAATAAGGAATTAGCAAAACAAAAAGAAAATTGGCAAATTGTATTTTTAAAGTATTTGAAATAGGAGAAAAGACTTGAATAAATTCAAGGAAAACATTTTGTTAAAAATTCCGTTGATAAACATACAAAGTGGATTCATGTTATATTGACATTAATTATGGTATGATGAGGTATAGGATTCCTAGTTGAGCGTAGTTTATGATGGAATTTTTTTTAGGTGAAATGGGATATCAGTTGTGAGGATCCATTAGTTCGTCTTTTTATTGTTATACGAAACCGCAACTTTTAAAAATATTCCTTATTGTTTTATGTTATGTCCCGATAAGCATAATGAATGGTAACTTTTAGGATCCATTTATGGATCAATACTAAACGTATATTTTTATTGTATCATTGTTAAATAAATAAACTATTCATATTCGTATTCCTCTTATCATAAGCTTTATTTTGACCTATGAACTATTATTATACGATCTACCATCCTTGAATTATGAACTGTCTATTAATTACTACCTCCCTCATTCACAGCCACATTTGGCTAATACTTGTACAAATGTTTCATATTTTATTGGTACAATGTGGTCTGTCTAGTTGATATATAAACTCAATATGCTTGAAGTAAATGATTCATATCGCAGAGGCTGAGATCGCTGTTCTGAACTCAACTAGCTGGGCTAGGTGGAAAGAAGGACCAATCACGACTCTAGACTGCCCATACGTGTTTTACGCGTCCTTGGTTCGATCGATAATTCGCTGCTCCCTAATTGGTGATATCATTACTTATCCATTAACAGGGCACTCAGGCCACAAGATATAACATTTTATTTCTCCATTTTATATAATCCCTTTATCTAATGGTAATTATGTCTCATTCATTACAATCAAAACCTTGGAAAGATGAGATGCTACCAGTCGCATGCGCAGAATACATTCAAATGGAACAATTTTCAGCCGACCAGTCCGAGAATGGATGACAACGACAAAAGAAGTATCTCATGTAAATTCTGTTCAGACTTTTATGTGACTGTACCGAACATCGAAACATGCCATGTTTCTAACCCATTCCTATTCTGGTTTTATGAAACCCCGTTCAATTCAGAACAGCGTCCACGGAGTAACTAGCTACAAAATAACACAACACATCGATTCTCCCAAAATTTAACATTTTTTGTTTTTATCTTATTCATTCTTTTTCAAAGTATGAAGACATAGTGTGATGTCTGTTTCAGGTCCCACGTTGTCGTCTACTATTGAGTGAAAAATAATTCCATTAAAATTATGGACGGATTTAAGTCAGACCATGATTAAAAATCTGGGAACGTTGGAAGGCTGTTTCGTTTAAGTATGGGATTTCTCAAAAGTGTGCATCCACGACTCTGCACACGGGAATCAAGTCCAGGATCTTCAATCTTGCTCACGAACCCTTAACTCCCACAACTCCTTACTGGAAAATAACTGACGAGCTTAAGTTGTGCTAGATCATATAGCAATATTAAGCAAGCTTGGAGCAAAATGCTGTTCTCTCAAAATTTTTAGTAAAATATTTAAAACATCAAGTGCATTTTTCGTATACAGTAAAAGTCCATGATAATCAATTATTAAAGCTGCTAAAGGCGAATCCCTGAGCAGTAGAAATATTAACAGTATCAGTAATCGCAGTAATAATAATAAGTATAGAACGGAAAAGGCATAACGAGATTTCCGAACTTGGGATCTAAGAGAAGACAGAGTGGATGAATTTGTACTATAATGAACGGTTTTGAGCCATATCAAGCAGAAACTCTAACCACTGGTTGCAATTATCGCACGGATCCCAACAAAGTATTCTGCACACAACAATATGACAGCACAACTTTCAAGAAATTCATGGACAGTTGGTGCCATTTTTCAGTTTGGTTGACACTAACCTTCTTCAAACCGACTCTTAAGCCAGACAAAATTACCGATTGAGGTAGGTGGGCTGCAGTTAAGCATATGTGATACATTTTAAAATAATTTTACTCGAAGAAAATTTACTGCCTCACTAACAATTCCCTCATTTTTACGTGGTACCCTCTACATACACTTCAGCGTTGCTCAATCTATGGTATTAGCATATGTGAGCAATCCCTTGAAGCAACTTATGAATTTCTTCCATTCTTCATGGTAACCTTAAGTTTCTAAACATTTATTTCAGAAAACATAGACTTGTAATTTCTGATGAAAAAAACAACAATTAGACCGAAACTGTACTCCAGCATTGTGTTATTAACGCTTCCTTTGTTAGTCAGTGTTTTAGTGAGGACTTGTTACTTTATACATATGAAAGAATATAAATAAATGCAGTCGGAAATATAAATAAATTAGTTATCTAGTCAATATTCCAAATAATTGTGTAATAACTTACATTTTATGAAGATTACACCAAATACTTTCTGGGATAGATAAAGTTAGTGAATTACGCATCTCCCATAATTCTGGTCGAAAATAACCATGTTCACAGAAAAATTCTGATGTCATTGGACCTGGTTCAGCCCATGTCCAAAAGCGAACAACCCAAGGTTTGCTTACATAACACATTTTACCAGATGGTGTTAACTTTAAACAAGAATAATATAAAGATTTTATAGAAATGCATTAATTATAGAGAATTGTTGTGGTGATTTCTATTATTACTTAAAAAGAAGGATAAACGCTACATAGGCCGAAAAACCTTCGTGTCATTTGTAAAAAAAAGTGGTAATCACGATATATTTTGATTAAAAAAAAACAATTCGTTATATTCAGAAATATGTATATTAGGGATGAAAAATGTATTTGTAAAACTCAGAGAATGATTCTGAAGTAAATCCAACGTTTCAGTCGGCAACATGGTACAAACTTTTTCAAGGAAATATAATCAAATATAATATTCTTATCATACATAAAAAGCTTATATGTTCTTTTTAAAACATCCACCGATCAGAGGCAGTAAGTAGTGAATGAAATTACTTCTCACACCTTAGATCCACTTACGAATACACACAATCTGTTCATATTAACACACTTTGTGTTAAACCACCATATGTCTCAGACACACTAAAGTAAGTACCTACTTTAAACATTGTTAACATGATTGTAAGATCTATTTAGTAAACAGTAAACCAAAGAACCGTGTACCTAACTATATTCCATAATTTTGATGTTTGATTATATTTCCTTTAAAACAACTTAGACCATATTGCCGACCGAAACGTTGGATCAACTTCACAATCATTCTCTGAGATTTTACAAATACATTCATCGGCGCCCAAATACTGTGAAGCCATTAATTCAACTTTAGACGGAAGTTCTTATATATATATATATATATATATATATATATATATATATATATATATATATATATATATATATATATATATATAGGAATTTTTGAGAGTAAAAACAAATATAATTAACTAATTCACAATATACAGACTAATGCACTCGATCTGTGTCTGGGTTAATTAAACTTCACCCAGCTAACTAAACAGAAATAGATGAGGCGGGAGTGTGATTTGATGTTTGAATTTCGAGCGTTTTGGTTATTATCAGGCCATGTTTAAAAATTAGAATGTCACTTATATATTAAGGAGAGTTCAATGCCAAAACCAACAGTTGTAATATTTTCGACAAACAAAAGAACCGAAACAATAAAAAAAGCAGATATATAAAGCTGTTGATCGAAAGAAAAGTGTTAACTGTTAACTAGGCTATTTTAGGAGACAATAAAAAAAGACTTGTTTCACAGAGCCTCAGAAGGACTTACAGTTTATCATAAAGACATTCAACTAATGTACGTACTCAACCACTGAAAGTCAAGATTTCGACAGTCTTTCTCAATTCACGTTGTAAATGACGGATGTAATGAAGTAGAATATGTAAGGTTGGACTAGGATACATTTGTCATAGGTCCACTATTGTCTACAAACATTATTCAGTATAAATGATATTTATTACAAACTGAAGACATGATTTCTCTAGAAATCATTCCTATTTCATTGTATATTCTCAAACAAACGCGTCAACAATCAGAAACAAACGACAGAGTGACAAAACAATGAAACACTATAAACTAAATGCTAAAAAGATGACTTAATAAGTAGTAACAATATCATCAAATGGTTCTTGTTGTTAGTCCAACTGATGAAACGATCTGTTAAAAATACTAATAAATAAACAATCCATTATCGATTAAATTTAGATTGTCTTTCTCTGCAATTCGGTACAATATGTTCACGTCAATCCACCTAAAATCATTTCTCATTGATTAACATCCTATATAGGGAAAACGTGAATACGCTACGATTTAATTTAACTTAACTAAATAACAGTTAATGAGCTCAAATTTCCGCCCATCTGTCCATTTGAGAATGCCCAGTAACACTATTTGGCTGCTCTAAACTAAAGTTGATTAAACAGGATCCGAACATATAAGCTAACGAGAAATTTAAACATAAATCACTACCATACAAAAAAAACATTCTCATAACCATAAGGCAGTCCTACACTCAGTATTGAATTGTCGAGTGCAATCACATTTAAGGTTTTCAGTTAATTAGGACGTGTGAAAACAAACCTACATTGTGTAGTGTAGGACAAACAAATATTATAAAGACAAAACACCTACTATTGAAACGTACTTGCCAAGAATTACGTATTGGTTCCAAATGTGTGTCACGTTTCCTGAAAGAAAAAGGTAAATATTTATTGGGAAATTTAATACAATCTACCCATTAATAAATTCAAATAAGTTAAATTATAAATCTTACCAGGACCACCATTATAAACTAGGAAGCACTGAATAAATATTATGAGACACCACAGACGCACATCTACGGCTCCACTACTGTTGGGGACCGAACCAAGGACGTTCGGTCTTGCTCACGGATAATGGACATCTAGACCACAATGGGGTACTTCAATCCACAATATTGTGCAACTATTTTCCACAGCCTGTGGTGGATAACGATCCCCTACCCGACATATATGAGAAGTCGTGCCCGGCGGAGTTCAACTATGTTGGGTATGTAACAGTTATTCACGACAGACAATAAAAAATGATCACACTATCGTGAAATGATTATAGTTAGATATGTACATAATTAGATCCAGGCTCATTGGTCTACAGATGATGTCCCAAGTGAAATGTAATAAATTCGAAACTTTTAGTATTGATTACTTTGGAAACTTCTGAAATGTTAACATTGGGCCAATTACCAAAAGGATAACAGGCAATCACACTGTTGAAAATAAGCTAATTAATTAGACTCAATTGTCGTGGGATACGCTTTAAGATGCATAGGTTTTTATCTTTGTAGAAACTTGTCTCTGGAAGTGTTCATTAAAATTTTTCTTCTAAACTTTTCACAACAGTTAACATATTTTTAACTAGTCGTCGATATTTATCGTCGTTTGTCTTACTATTTTTTATCAATATGATTTAGAGGATGTACACTGGTTTAAAATAATTATTACAATCGTTTCGAGGTAGTAGGCTACATTCGTTGTTCTTAATTTACCCGAAAATGGTACATTAACAAAAGAAAATCGCTCAATATAATCATGATAACGAACAACAATAGTATTATTTTCTTTCAGTTCTCTAAGCACTCGATCATATACATAGTCAATGTTGTATTTAACCTGTTTTCCTATCTAATCAATTTCAATATCCACTGCACGAAACTCATTTCATCACATTATGTCACATGATTTGTATTGTTTATCATGTCTGCTTATGCGACCATATTCAACGGTTGATATTTAACTAAAAAAACAGCAGTAAGATATATATATATATACACTAGTTATAGATGTGATGGCGATGACGAAGACAACAGAAACAACAAAAGCAACAAACAGAACTATCTTCAATATATTTTTTTTAAAAAAACAACGAATAATTGATCGACCAATGTAATTAGTAAGGTTCGTAAAAAAAACAGAAAAAATAACCGAATATTTTCACTTAGTAAATGTAACCAAATGTTTATCGAAGTACATGAAAACAAAGTACTAAATCACTGTAATTTGAAGACGAAAATAAAGAAACCCCTAACTAGAGAAATCAGACGTATGATGCTACAGAGAAACTGAAAACAAGTCGTTCACAATTCTAAGTAAAAAGAATTGTCCAGTAATTTGGGTAAGTAATCATAAGCAACAATTCGACGAAATTTTAAATGATACAAAATTGAGTTATGGCTTGTTATTATGCTTACGTATGATTACCGTACGTTTATTTAAATACCGCTCCCCCTATGTCCATTTCAGCTAACATGGATGGAATGATAATTTAATAATAAGATACAGATTCGAACTCCGCCCCATTTAATTTAGTATGAGCAACCGAGTAGTATTATTAACCCTCGTATTTGCAGTACACGAATCTCTATCTACAAAATTAGTCTGATATTTCATTCGAAAGGCAGTTGTACTATAAACCACAGTAGGTAAGAACCGATAAAATGATAGCTGGAATTGAAATGATTAGATTACCACCAAGACAATCAACCTATTAACGTTACGAAAGTTTCAGTAATAATTAAATAGAAGCAAATAATGAAACTATATGTAAGAGATTTTATTAAAAAATAATGAGATACAGAAAACGAAATGTAAAAATGAAAATAAAGTTTATTCAAAATGTATACGTGTATTATATATTACAGAACACTAACTTATAATACAATAGGATTTTCATCCTAAATTTTTAGAGAGATCAATGCATAATATTATTTACCGATAAAACAGGATATATGCTGAACTTTTCAATGATTCAACTTGTTCAGCATCCAATTTTCGTACATGTTCATCATTGAATTCATACCAATGTTCCGTTGAGGAATTATACGCACATGTAGTGTAATGACCACCGCCGCAACCACCATAGTGACAGATGACACCAATTAAATCATAGATTGTAATCTAATACAGAAATATCAATGAAAAGGCGTTTATTTAATGCATTCAAAGATAATGTGGAATACAGTAAATAGGTAACAATACAGTTGGAATGTCTTATACATAATGATAGCACGATTTAATTAAGAAGTTATGTTGAATACATAAACCATGCATACGTTATGTAACACCAAACACATTTTTCTCTAACGATTACTGTTCAATCAGAGCACTTTAACTTCGACAGAATCGATACCAAGTGTAAAAGTAAACAAAACATAGATTTGAGGAAAGGGTTAAAATTTGGAACATGGTGTACTGAAGTAAAACGCTTATAATATACAAGATCAACTGAGAAAACCAATCGTTTAATAACGTTTAAAAAAGCCGATTGTTTACAAACTAACTAAACACAGTCAGGTAAATAAACGCTTTGCAGAGATGTAACTTAGAACCAATCAAATGCGTTTCCGCGGTAATACCTTTGGTTTTAGATTAATTCAATTTCGTTGGTGCAAAAATTTGCTAAGATCCTAATTGTGGTGTGAAATTCCTAAACTATGACCACTACACATAGCTGGACTAAGTCTTAACTCCCGTTACTGTCTTTCGATTATATATCATGGTTCATTAGAGAAACATGTTTTCAAAACACACACACGTGAATGCACTGAAAAAGTAATTTACATCGGGCGGTAAACAGCAAATATTGACGCGATTAAAAATGCTGATAATAACGTGATCTGATATAAATTGTGGTAGTTGTATGGTTGGATGGTATCTTAATATAGTTACACAGATATCATCAACGCAGAACCTGACACAGATGTGTGTTGGCTTAAGTCCCCATACTACCTTGGCATAAACAGATGAGTTTCAATCCATAGAAACATGTAGTGAGGAAAAGACTTTATCTAGAAACATTGTGATAAAAATGCTATTCAAGGATGAAGCAGCCATAGAATACCCTCAGTACGGTTACAACCCCTTGCTTTCATTTTAAATATCTTTTATACATATATATGTAAATTAGTTTCGTAGATAATTACAAAGTTTCGTTAGCATATTTCAACAAAGTTGAAATAATTTGAAAAATTATTCAGCATGTTAATAATAAATGACTTTTTTCAATAATTAAAATTTAACTTTTAAACCTTCATACTAGAACAGTTTTTCTTTTTACTAATGTAGCTTAATTTTGTTGACAAAAATTGTTTCAACAATTAATAATGGAAGAAAATTTGGCGTTTTCCTATAAACAGAACGTTGACCTAGAAAATTAAACAAACCTGTTTCGTCAACCGATCAAAAATGTAACCATTTCGTTTTTTTAGAAACAAACACTTTATATCGACATGAAAAAATATATATCAGAGAAAGGTAGAGAGGAAAAAAGTAAATAATCCTTACTTTATCTGTACAATCACGATGAAGGAATGGTGAAAGATCTAAATTCTTCAACGGGAAATTCACTGGAGATGATAATTTCGAAGAATATAAATGATTACTACTGAATCTTTTCAAGTGTAGTGTCAGAATTTCCGGCAACGCGACAAGTTTGAACTGTTTCAAACCATTACACCGCCTGTGTAAAGAAGTTTTAAACAATAGAGTAAATTTGTTGCAACCTGAATAATTAATTGATTGAATGAAGTAAAAGTAAAAATAATTAGAAAAAAAAAATAGTGAAAGCTATATGTCATCAACCTTAGATTGGAAAACTCGGGAAAAAGGGGTTAAACACCCACACAAAGTGCGGCACATGGTTGGTGAGTTACAATAATAATAACAGCAACAATAATAGTGCCCCCAAATGCTTTCACATGGCCACAAGTATACAGCCACTACCATGGAAGTCCTACTCACTGACTTCTCGCAGCATCACTGTTATTTACGAAATTGAAAGGACGAAAAGTGAATATCCGGTGCCTTAACTGGGTTGGTGATCGGTATGGAGGATCAACCTAGGGGAGTTGGAAAACTGATTACAAACCAATGATGCACATAAGCTCCAGAATCCTGAGGGAACAAATAGCGTATGAACCAATTATTGGTCACGGGCTATCATGGGACTGGATCTCCTTACGTTGCTCCACTGCCTTGTAGATCAAACCTTTAGGTCGAAAGCTCCGGGTGTGATCCCCTAAGAAAACCACCTGCTTCGGTTTAGGTACCCGGGCAGCATCCCAGCCCTCACACAAATCGAATGATTTGTGTGGCGCATATCTATTTGGTGCTTCCTTGTACCGATGTTTATGTGGTTAAATAAATAAAATTAATAATAGTAATCATTATTATTATTTCAAAACAGAAGCATAAACAAACACCTGCAACAACGAGAAACCATTTAATGAAATATTCAATATACTCAACAATAATTCATTATGAATGGAAAGTTAGATGACGATAATAGAATTTTCACTGTTTTAGTAGTAAACAGTAGTTGTATACATTTCTTAGTAGGCTTGATGAATACATACATGAAGCGCTAAGAATTAATAGGGATTTAAAGGACTCTTTTGAGTTAAATATGAAAGGAGATGGGAAGAAAGCTACAGATGGTTGAACCAAGACTGTCGATTGAAACTGTGTTACTAGGTGTGCACTTTGTAGTCAGTGTCTGTGGGACAACGCTGACCAACGATTGAAGACCTCGTGTTTACAACGATGGAAATAGGTTGTTGCAATGGTGCAGACGCATTTATTTTTTTGTCTTCCTCCAGGTTTTTAGTTTCAATTATGTTTCATACTTCCTATTAAGCTAATACAGTATTTGGAACCATATTTCCTATATTCAGAATATTTTTAATTTCTTGACACTATTGTTATTTCAACTTCTTGACTATTCAGAAAGTTTATTTATTTATTTAAGCACATAAATATTGGTGCAAGGAGGCACCAAGCATATATGCGCCACATTTCGTTATTCGATTTGTGCGAAAGTTGGAATATTATTTGGGAGTCCAAACCGAGGCAGGCCATTAAGTTTACTTCCCCTCAGTTTGCCAATGTGGCATGGTAAGTGAGTCTCTTACATTATTTGCTCAAGGTCATACTTTAATTTTAGCTGATTGATGAGAGTTCAGTTCTTTCTAGTAAACTGAGACAGAAAAGTATCATGTTTGATTAATAGAAAATATATAGGTTATTTGGTTCACAAATGACGGGACAAGAAATATCGACCAACTTCATTTCGCATCACTTATATTATGGGCCCCCAAATGCCCTGGTACGGCCGAGAGTGGGGAGAGTCCGCTCTCCCTCTCGAAATGCTCTCACATGGTCACGCGTATATAGCCTCTGACAGGGATTCCTACTCACTGCCTTCTCGCACCACGGGTGTTGTCTACGAAAATGAGAGGACGAAAAGCGAATTTCCGGCGCTTTAACCGGATCCCAAACCAATGGTGCACATGGGCTCCAGTATCCTGAAGGAACAAATGGCGTATGAACCAATCGTTGGTCACCGGTTACCATGGGACTGCAGCATCTCCTTACGATGCTCCACTGCCTTGTGGGTCAGACGTTCAGGTTTGGGCACCCGGGCAGTATCACAGCCCTCACACATATCAATTGAGATTTGTGTGGCGCATATGTATTTGGTGCCTTCTTGTACCAATATATATGTGTTAAAATAATAAATAATAATAATACTTATATTATAGAAGAGATAACATTTGGTTTTCGTGTCTGTATCAGTACACTCTTGCCCAGGCAATTGATAATCAGAAGAACTAGTGATTAGATACGGTGCTACAAAAGATTATGCAACCAGCAAAGGGACTGTTAAGTTTAAAAAATAATAAATTCCAGGCAGTGAATGTGGCTGATCTTTACCACTCTTAAGCTACCGGTCGAATTCGTGGGACATTTTCGAATCGCTGAATGGTGAAGTTCACAACTTAACTTTTTCTTTAACTGTAAACGTCCAAGTAAGAACAAAACGCCAGCACAGAACTTACCGATTACATCTTCCACAGAAATATCCATTTTCACCAACTAATTCCGCTTCAGAAAAATAGTGAGATAAGCAATCTTCAAGGGTAAGAGTAGACCATTTATCTATCCATTGTTTAGGTCTGTAATATAAACAAAAATATAAAACCAAAATGATGAGTATAGTGTTTTGTGGAGGTTGCTGAGTTTGAACTGCTATCATGAACCAGTCAACGTTAGACCACCATTGAAAACCTGGAAGCGCTGAACGGCCCCCAAATGCCCTGGTACGGCCGAGAGTGAGGAGAGTCCGCTCTCCCTCTCGAAATGCTCTCACATGGCCACGCGTATATAGCCTCTGACAGGGAAGTTCTACTCACTGCCTTCTCGTGGCGGGGGTGTTGTTTACAAAAATGAGAGGACGAAAAGCGAATGTCAGGCGCTTTAACCGGATCCCAAACCAATGGTGCACATGGGCTCCAGTATCCTGCGAGAACAAATGGCGTATGAACCAATCATTGGTCACCGGCTACCATGGGACTGCATCTCCTCACGATGCTCCACTGCCTTGTGGATCAGACGTTCAGGTCGAAGGCTCGGGGTGTGGCCCCCTAAGAAAACCACCTGCTTCGGTTTGGGCACCCGGGCAGTATCATAGCCCTCACACAAATCAATTGAGATTCGTGTGGCGCATATGTACTTGGTGCCTCCCTGTACCTATACTTATGTGTTAAAATGAAATGAATGAATGAAATGGTATGGAACTCCTCAGCGATGAGCATCAAAGATACCGCACACGGAGCTCGAAACCAAGAATCTTAGGTCAGAAATTATGAGATAGATTATTGGAAATTTCCAAATAATATGTATACAAGCAAGGTTCTGTGATTACTGTAATATATTATTTTTATTCTATTGATCCACATTTTCTTCGTACATCGTATCTTCCACTGTCATTTCTTTGATATGAACACTAGTAATCTGAAATTTGTTCTGACAATTTCACCCGGCTGTGCTAATTGAGCGACAATGTGAACCGATACCAGATTCTACGTTGTACATGACTGGCTTACTTGTGAGTTGGATTGCACTATCTACACTGATCATCAAACAACATTTATCGCTATACTAATGAATTTGTAAATATTGTTTGATGAAACAAAATTTAGAATAATGTCTAGGTTTAAATTGCTCAGATAAAACCCCGTGTTGTACATCAAAGATGAGTATATAAATAAAAACAAAAACTTTGTACTATGGTCATAGTTCTTTCGTTGGTTCTTTTTTCGTTCCCTATTAAATTTACCATCATTTCCATTATCTTCACTTATCTATTTCTATTTGTCGTTGACTCATATTGTTTTGATAGAAAATGCATTAATTTAAACGTATATATATATATATATATATATATATATATATATATATATATATATATATATATATATTAATAATTTAATTAAACTAGTACAAATAATTTATGCCAGAACTTACGAGGGCAAAAAGCTTTGTACATAGGATAAAAATATATGAGTTAGGGTTAAAAGCATAGTGAAGAACCAAGGAATACCCGTTACCAGACGGCCAACAATTGTTGGAAATGCGAATAACGAAGATGACTTTATTTTTGATCCACGTGGTGTAGAATACTTTCGACTTGTTGACTTCGATGGTTCTGTCTGTTGCAAATCATTAGATGTCTTCAAATATACAGGACCATTTTTCAATAAAGAACCTGTGCTTATTGAACCATTCATCAAAGAGGATTTTGTTGATTGATCAATAGAAGAGGATGGATACGTTTGTACAGTAGGTTTGGTAAGGGAAAGGGACAAGTCCATAAATGATTCCTCCCTATTGGAAAGCTATATAGAAGTAATGATCATATATATACAAAAAAAATTACTAGAAATTTACTGTAAATGTGGATGTTAGTGAACACTTCATCAAATAAATGGAAGCACTGTTGCATAAAATATATGAATTAAATTTGTAAGAATGGAGATAATGAAGACTCGTAAAACACCTTTTAAATCATCCAGAGCTAAGTTAAAAAGATCTAAAAATTTCAGAATCTATCACAGGGACATACATCTTCACACACAAAGTGACTAAATGCAGTCGACAGAAAATCCTGAACCTAGATTTAGTGCTATCTGGCACCTGTTACTATGGCGTATCTGTAATCGCAAGATAACTGATACTCTCTGACCGATTGAATTCTCATACCCAAATATGCAATCAGAGACGTTACCACTAAGCTATTCGAGACGCGACTGACCTCCTGTAGGACAGAGATATATTAACCATTGAACGATTACTGAGTAGTCGTAAATGCCATGTACGTCCTTCGTAATGTTGACCGAATTTTGTCGATCAAATTCACTAAGGAGGACTTAACATACACAATAATCACTACTCAGGGATCAGTTAAATATTAACACATATATTGAATTTTTTAAAAAGGACAAAAGTGGACAAGAAAATTACAGAACGACTAGGAATCCTTCATTTTTTTCAGACGAAACATCGCATTTAGTAAACATCAGAGAGAAATCATAGTACGTTATATTTATCGAGGTAAATTGAAATTGCTGTATAAAATTTTTGAAGACTAAGAAAAATTTACAAATGTTTACATATTCTAAATGTACAGGTCTCAGATTTATTTTTATTCTGTTTATATGTATGGTACTAGAAAAAATAAATAATATATCTTATTAATAAATTTCAACAAAGTTTAAATTAGCAAGGACATATGTAAATTAATGGGCATCAATGAAATTAATTTTAAATGATTAAAATCTACATTTATAGCCTTCTCCAAACTGGATGTAACACACGCTTTATAAACTGAACAACAAAGTACCTATTACCGTGAATATTTGTGTACTGAGAATCCGAAAAAAAGGAATGAATGAGACTGTACAGCTAGCTTTATTAAATGATATCATGAAAAGCAATCATTTTTCGTCAAATTGACTTTACTTATTTTATGATAATAACGGGTTTCCTTGTTTTTTTTTCAGATTCATTGAACTTAAAAGTTCGTATTAAACCGCAGACAACACAGGACAGAACAGTTATTTCTAATTAGTATGGGACCTTTCAGAATATCAAACTATTCTTGGTCCAAGACAGAAATTATCTTCAAAATTAAACAACTTTTCACATTGAGTAAACAAAAATTCATTACACAAGTTGAAGGATTTGAATATAATTGTCAAAAGACAGCAAATTTAATTGATCACAGTCAGTTACAATTAATGTAGAGCCCGACAACAAAGTACCTCAGCCCAGGTAGATATTACCATATCAATCCAGAGATAAGATCAAAAAGACGAATAATAAAGTTAAAAAATGCACCACCAATGATAACGATGAAGACTGAACCTTAAAAATATGATCCGAAAAGGTATTTATGAGGGAAAACTAAGACTCAAGAACTGTAGGAGGACGAAGAGTGAAAGCATCTGAGCCACTGTGACTGATTCTAAGCAATAGCAATCAACGTCTGCAACCATCAAACACGGTCACCACGTGGATCCTAATCAGGTGGTCCGCATCCACAAACATGGGTTAGACCAACAGTCAGCGACTTCATAAACTAATCCTAGGTTTTGGTATGGCCACCTCTAGATTTTTCTCAACATATTCCTAGATTAACCAACACAGCTCATTAAGGTAAGGGGTAGTTATCCATACGGAATGCATGACCCATAACCTCATCAACGAATTTATCATATTTACCTATTACTCTAATTTCTAGCCATAGTATTGCTTACTTGGTCATTCCACGAAACCCAAGAAATGCTTCGAAGACATTTGAAGCCTACGTATCTCTTCTACTTCCATAAAACATGTCACAGACATATAGTAATACAGAACGAACTGTTGTGCAGTGTACTTCCCTTTTGGTTGGCAAACGGACATCTTACCTACCCCATAAGTGACTCGAGTTAGCAGAAGCCAAGAGAGTTTTCTAAATGTGTCTAGATTTATATAGACATCAAAAACAGAAGCTCTAATAATTCTAAATTTCATAAGATCATTAGAAACATCAACAAACTAAACATTATAACTGGGAATGAATGGAAATATTTTTCAAGATTTTTGTAACAACGAATAAGTAACTAACCCGACTGCATGACAGGCAACGGACAGAGCTAACTAATCTGCCCTGAAAGACATCAGTAATTATACTATTATTACTGTTGTCCGATGAACAAGTAGTAGTTGTTGGCTTGATGCCTATATAAAAAATAAAGAAGATTTGCATTTAGAGATAGAATAATTTGAAAAGGGACTTATATGTTTCGGACCAGCAATCACTTCCCAGAGTGGATCAACATAAATACTTGACGGTTAAACTTGACTAGAACAATCGTTGTCCTTACATCAGGGCCCCCTTTGATTCGTTGGACAGGACTATTCTTCGTGATTGTTTACTGGAGAATGACGTGCCTGAGAAGTTTATTAACATCTTGAAGGTCCTAAATACAAACACATCAGGCAGAGAGTGAGGGTATGCAACACCTTAAATCCAGTGTTCTATTCAAGCAGGGGTAGCTAATCTTATCATTCTACTTCAATTTCGCTATCGATGACGTCCTGGAAACAGCTCAATGTAAGTAGGTAGTAGCAGTGTGAGTCTGCTACCTGGAAAAACACTTTTCGACCTTGAGTATGCGGATGATACTTCCTTACTGTGAAAAGATATCCAAGCCATAAAATCTGCAATCAGTATCCGTAATCATGGCATATGCTTTGCGTCTTCTAAGTTTAAAGTACTTTTATAAGACTGGCAAGAGCCTGTGCTTATACTCACTCTTAGTAGTGAACCGTCAGAAGTAATAGAAAAGTCCATGCATTTAGGTAGCTATCAAACTGCTAGTGGTGGTGCGATTGATGAGAAACCAGAGGAGCTTATGACAATCTACGCCATCTTTGGAGCCTATGCTATTAGCCTAGATGTAAAGGGTCGGATTGACAAGGCGTCCGTGAGAGCAGTTTTGCGTTATGCTTACGAAACCTGACCTCATCAAGTTGAAGATGTTAGGCAACTCTGTGTTCGATTATCCTCGTCCCCAAGGAATTTCTGACATCCAGTGACAACATTTTTGCAATGAAGATGTCTAGTTATATATAGTGACGATAACCCAGTTGTTGTCACCATCTAGAAACACTGAGTTCGATGGCTTGGACATGTGCTACGAATGTCGTCCCAGCGAATCCATAATTTGTTGACGATAGGGCCTATTGGTAATCAGTTTATGACAATGTATCGTGATGTGGAAAAAATCTGGACAGAACTGGCATCTGTCAGTCCTTCACGACTCCCTGGCTGAGGTTCTGGAGATGGTCCAACACTGGCCTGAGAGAATAACAGACAGCTTAGAATAGAAGTCAGTGGCTGTCCTGTTATCTTTTTTGAATTTCTTCAGGTAAGAGGAATTTCTTGACTGAAAGAAACATTTCTGGTAGTATTTTTGTTAACTGGACTGTTTCATCCATTATTTTTTAAGTCTCACACATTTTCACTCACTTATTACTTTTTTTATGATCATCTCCCGTTCTCCATCTCTTCAACTACTCATTTTCTCATTGTGTAACGCATAAATATTTTGGTGCCCCTTTGGACCAATATTTATGTGTTTAAATAAATAAATAAACTATTGAAAATTAATGTTCCTATACCTAAGGTCTGATTAACCAGTTTATGTGGAGTAATCATAACCTTTTGTTAGTGATACAAAGTAAGACTGTGTGAATTAATATCCGATATAACTCAACCACTATTTGTGAAAGTGAACACAAATTTTTGTCTATAGTTGTCTTGTTTCCATAGAACAAAGGGTAACCTAACAAATTATTCAAAACATGTGTAACTTTGTTGCAGCCCATTATAATGTCAATCATGGTCTTCCGAATGAGCTTGCGTTTAGTCTAATAAGACATTCAGGTAATTTTATCCTATTAATACAGGGATAAGTATTCTGGCAAACTAATACCCTCTACAATTTATTCACCTATTTAAAGCTACTTTTTTAGGATTTGATTTACAAGTGGTGTAAATGAACTGAATGATAATCAGCTTCTCAGGTCGAAATGGAGGTTTAAATTATTATTATTATTATTATTATTATTATTATTATTATTATTATTATTTGAACACAAATATTGGTACAAGGGGGCACCAAATATATATGCGCCACACAAAACAGTGAGAATTGGAAGAGAAAGGAAAAAAAAGTAATGAACGTAGGGAATTATATAAAAAAAGAAAGAGAACAATAATGGGGGAAACGGAAAGGTACAATCAGAAGAAATCTTTCAGTTAAGGAAGATACAACCACTTTTTATGAAGAAAGTAAAAGAAGGTTACAGCAGGATCGCCACTGGCTTCTATTCTGAGCCATATCTGATAACGTCTCTAGCCACTGTGTTACACCATCTCTCGGACCCCAGCCAGGGAGTCTGGAAGGACCAACAGAAGCTTGCTCTTTGCAGCTTTCTTTCATACCACGACACCATGTCATATACTGACCACGGAGGTTTGAATGCATAAAGCGAAAACCTAATATATCGTTCCTATGAGAAACTCTGACAGATGTCAGATTAAACCGATGGATCAATTAAAACCTAGAAAATGAGGCTGAACTACTTACAAACAAAGCAAACACAGAGCAGTGTAAACTGAGGCCAAGATTTAGCTAATAGAGTAAGATGCACATATTCTGACCTACTATTAACGACAAGCAAAAACATAAAGATACAATCTATTTCATTGGTCTGATAGTACCTTTTTTGTCTGAGTTTGAAAGCCTTGAGTGTTTCAGTTCTTCGTGCAGCTGGACTAAAAATAGTCTCAGAAACTCTTGAGCATCTTGTTGTGCATAACCTCTGAACATTGGGTGCACAATGCAGAAAGTATCTAAAATTGTATTTGCATTGAAGCAGCGTGGTCTAAATGAGAAAAGGTAAAAGAAAAACAGATAAACAGTGTAAATTAGATGGTACTAAATATGAGATTCAAAATAATTGAAACCGAAGGAGAAAATCAGACAGAACAGCTTTATGTAAACCATCATCTGTTATTTAAGAAAAACGAGTGAACCACAATCTTACTTCAGTAAAGTCACGTGTACCGACATTTAGAATCTAAGAATTACATTTCCACCGCAAAAGTTAAAGCAAAACCCGCAAAATTGTTAACCGGATTCAGAAATACATTTTACGGTGACTAAGCATAAAACATACTTCCATAAATTTAATGGGGATTTTGTCATTAATTTTCAGGCATAAAAGTGCATTGGTTCAAGTTATCACACTCAACATTAATACACAGGAATTAAAGAAGCTGCAGTAATAGTAGTGCCAATGATAGTAAGAAACTAAGCAAAGAGATATAGGTCGAGAAAAACAAGTGATGTCACAGAAAAATTATGGACGTTAAAACTTGAAATTTCAAGGATTTCCCTTTTTCTTAAACACAGCCTAGTTGTACTCCATATGTTACTAGAATTCCAGAAATTGTTTTCGAAGCAATTCATTAAGATAATTGTTACTAAGATAAGTTCGTGGTGAATGTTAAGTTTGAGGATAATTTACACCAAACACTGACTACATTTACACAGCCTCAGAAAACAAGGAGTCACGAGAGATCTTTATCCTAGTTTTAAACTACTCAACAGGGTTTAACAAGTGAAAGATCAAGCTGGGAAGTTAAAAAGTGGTAAGAATTGATTGATTACTAGGGATGCTGACTTTTCACAACAAAAGGTCAAGAAAGACCAGCCCTACAAGTTCAAAACCTCACATCCCTACATCGATTTCCGACGACTTTATAGCCTGAGAATTATGGAGCATTAAATAATACATTAAATACTACTTAAAGAAATATCGTAAGTGATCAACAATAAACAACAGTCCCTTGGACTAAATGGTTAAGTTCCTAGGTCGAGAAACTACGACTAAATTACCTAGTTTCTCATGTCCTTCAAAAAACATTTTTTTAGTGTAGGGAACCAAGAAGGGAAAATGTCTCAAATTTTTAAACGCACTTAATATTATCACGTTCGCAAATGAATCTTTTTACCTCTTAATATCTATACTATCGCCGTTTTTCCGTAGCTTCATATTTTTCCGCATGTATGGTAAGTTTTGAAATTTCGAGTTTACAAAACGTTGTTCCGTCCTTCCTGAAACTGTGCTTCCAACAATATGTGGGAGCTTCTGTTGTTCCAAAGGTGAATTACATAGGACAACAAGCTTCATTAACTATTTGAACATTGGAGAACTTAAAAATGTAGCTAATTTGAAACCACGGGAAGCACTAAGATTAAATGGATTGATAACGCAGGCGTTAAAAGATGAAAGTCCAGTTTTTAACCTGAATCGATGAACATTCGTCTTAGGTCTTATGACTGACATCAAGATAGGTGAGATTGCTAATTGATAGATGATCGTGGTGGTATAGAGTAGCCGAGCAATTGCTGTTTATTAAACCGTATTATTAAATATATCTCGAAAGATTAGAAATCAAAGACAAGACCTCTAGTCAGATGAATAAGTTTGTCATAAGAAATAATATGTTTATGCACAGAATATGAACACAAATATACGCAATGTAAAATAACAGGAGACTGCAGGAAACTAGCTTGGGTGCTATTTGTTATTCAATCAATCCTGATCTGGGCACTATTAGTGCATAAGACTTAACGATAATATTACTTTATAGTGGAGTATTGAACTTGAAGTTCAGTTAGCCAGGACCCAGTTTGAGTATTCATATTACTACTGACCCTCACGCGAAGTATGGCCGAGAACCTGATATTTAGACCTGAAAACGGCTGAATCATATCATCATTGCGTCGCTTGTTTGGAATAGCAGTATCGTGGCAACCAACAAAATTACTGAACAAGGTTTTGTGTGGATAAAGATTCGAAGTACCAAAAGACGTGATGAAGAAACGAAAGGTCCACACGATAATCTGAATTAGCAGTTGGTATAATGAGTGGGAAAGTCAAAAATAAATAATTTTACCTATCTCTACTAATATAAAGTGAGATATTTTTCGTTTTATTCCTGTTCGAACTATCCCCTAAATCCTTGATTTCAAACCGTCAGTGAGATGACTATAATTTCACCTCCTGCTTCTTACCATCATTCTTCTTTACTGTGCAGATGACGTATTGCCATAGACAAAATGCCAACCTCGCTCTAAATTTCCAAGTATACAGCGGTCCATACTCGCTACTGTTGAAAAATCAAAAACGAAAGCATTTTCACAACCTTGTTACTTGCCATATTTGACTACATATAAAATCTAACTGACTAACTCATGTTTTCAAGTATATAAAGGGAGAACTGTAACACCATACTGCTGGAATCAGACATGACAACTGTGAAGCGAGAACCAAGGCAGAAATACAAACAAAGTTTTAAAAGCTGTGTTATCAAGGTCTGACAGGCATGCATTTTATCTAAACATAAAATCTAATTACCTTTCATTCCCCCAAAATTCAGAAAGTAGTGTGCAATAATGACTGAACAACACAAGCCTTCGATTTGGATCAAGGATGTTATGGCACTCGAGAAAAAATTCCGTTAAATGTGGACTACAAAGCTGAAAAGAATCACTGAAAGTTACCAATTTGATAAGGCTTGTAAAGCAGCATTCATGTAACAAGTGTTGCCTATATTACGAAGTCCACCAAGCCCGAAAGAAAGCAACTGATCCGAACTTATCATAGTATCCCCAAACTCCTCATTCATATTTACAAACATTATTAACACATGACGCCAGCAGCCAATATGTACAACCCGCGCCAAGGTGAAAAGAATCAAAGTACAATTAAGGACATTATATTCCGACATTTACAGAAAAGACAGAAGGCCTACGGCCTGTGTCAGTCATTTTCTAGTAAGCCTTTAAGAGTGTCCAATCTTTTCAAGAATGAATCAAATAAAGGAGTGGACACCATATCTTTGGATAACAGGTACCAATAGTTCATGACTCCGTGTGAAAACCTGTATGCCACGTGTATTTCGTTCATTCTTGATTTCTCTGCTCGTTAGCTATGTCCTTTGAGTTTTATCGGTATGGTGGGAAGAAAAAGAGGGGACATATCGGGCCCCAAATCATTTCTCAGTATTCTATACATCAACATAAGATGATCTCTCAATCTGAGGTAGGCCACAGTAAGGAGGTCTAACTTCTCGACTCTCTCTTTGTATGGTAAATTCTGGAGTTCTGGAATTGAATGGGTAGCTGCTTTCTGTGTTTTTTTTCCGGAATATCCGAGTCACTTTTGGGCAGCAGCTTGCAGTCTAAACAAAGTTTTCGACTTTGGATCTCACTAAAGTTATGTAGACTGTGGAATATATTGGTTTTGTGTATAATCTTTTGTCTCTGTGGAGTTGTGTTGATCCTGTTTTATGTTTTACTGTAATATTTTAGAGGAAATCTTGAGATTTCTTGTTTTGATATGTCTGTAATCAAGCAATGCTTTTCGTCTTTTTTTAAGGTTTTCCAGGTTTAGATAGTGCAATAAAGTCACCTACTACAAGGCGTTTAAATTTATCATCGGAGAACTTATGTTTGCTTCTCTGCATACTCACCTAATGCACATTCAGGACTGCGGCACACCCTAACTAACTGTAGCGGTAAATAATTCCCCAAAATCAAATAGCTCTGTAAGTTTTCGACATTGGATGCTGACCACAGTTTTAGTGGACTCATCTAGCTGAAGGCGCTCGGTCAAGCATCCGCACCAGATCACGTGTGGGAACGCCGTGCTCAAAATCTGCTGCAATCGCTAGCCAGATTAGTGCAAACGATCCTCGATATATTGATAGCTTATCAAATATATCTTCGATCTCCTCACTTCTGTCTTTTGATTTTACTTGGTGGGTGCGCTTCGTATTAGAAGGTGTTACTGGTTAAAGCGTTGTCAAACTCCGAATACCTGTGGCATCTTTATTGGTGAGCCCGACGTAATCTGGTACACCATATTGTAAACTGTGAGTCTGTTCCTTTTTGTGATTTTATATATCATTGTCTTATTTTAATCTTTTTCTAACATTGTGATATTTTTTTCCCGTGTTTTTGGGTTTATATATATATATTTCCCACTCGTTCACTTTTCGTACTTGATATATTACTACGACTGAACAGACCCCTTAAGTATTTAAGTTAAAGACTGTGTCCCCACCCTCTTTCCAACTTATGCCTTTCTGGCCAGACAACATCGAAGCCTGTTTTTGTTACGCAGAAGCCGACTTCTTCGAGCACGGTGTGAACGATGCGCGTACACAATTCCTCGCAGTAGTCAAGGCACTACCGCGCGAATTTAACAGGTACGTAACATCTAGTATGTTTACTAGTGATGTTTCTGATCCATACCGAACCCTGAAACATGCCATCCTTAAACGCGGAGATCTAACCGATCGACAAAGGTTAGACCAACTCCTCAGCAACATCGACCTGCAACACGGTTCTGCCACAGACATGTTGCAAAGAATGCGAGAAGTCATTGGCCAAAGAACCTTCGACGACGGCCTATTCAAACAACTTTTCTTATCCAAACTTCCTCAACAGGTGCAAGCTGTTTTGCTCTCGTTCCAAAACAACGCCGTAGACGAGCTAGCTGCGTCTGCCGACCGCATTCTCGAAATCACTAGGTCTTCTAACGCCGAGGTTTTTTCAGTCAAAGAAAAGCCTCAAACGACCCAGAATGACATAACACAGTTGTGTCATACACTTACGCGTTATCTCAAACTCTGTAACGACCGTAAACGATCACTTACCCCGCGGAGAAGCACATCACGTAGGCGATCTGTATCTAGAACTCGAGAGACGGATAATCCTGATTGGTGCTGGTACCATAACCAGTACGGAAAGTCCGCCAGAAATTGCAGAAAACCCTACAATTTTCCCAACGCGAAATCCGTCGACGCGAAGAACGTTTCGGGAAACTTTCAAGCCGGCACGCGTTAACGGCGACCATAGCCGGCGAACATAGCAGTCTTTTATATGTCACTGATGTGATAACGAGAGTTCGCTACCTCGTAGATACTGGTGCAGAGGTTAGCGTTTTCCCAGCGAATTCCGACGACCGGCTACACGAGCCCGTTTTAAATCTACAGGCGGCAAACGGAAAGCCTATCGCTACGTATGGCAAAAGGTATATTTATCTTAACGTGGGTTTACGCAAACCCATTCCCTGGATCTTTGTTGTTGCAGATGTTTCTATGCCAATCATTGGTATGGACCTTCTACAACACCACAACTTAATTATCGATACGCGCAAACGGAGGTTAGTAGACGAAAACACTAATTTATCTGTTTGCGTGACTTCTTTTTCTGGTTGCAGGTTATCTCCAGTCACTATTAAGCACACTATGGACCCCTTCTACCAACCACTACTCGATAAATATTCTGGCATTTACCAATCGCAACCGAAATTGCTGTATGTAACCAGCAATGTTACACATCACATCACAACTACAGGACCACCTGTCTTCTCGAAAGCACGCCGACTGGCCCCCGAAAAGTTAAGGTTGGCGAAAAACGAATTCGACCATATGATAAACTTAGGAACCATACGACCGTCAAATAGCCCATGGGCATCTCCGTTGCACATGGTCCCCAAAAAGGACAGCAACGATTGGCGTCCAACTGGTGACTATCGGAGATTGAATGCAAAAACCATTCCCGATCGTTACCCGTTGCCCCACATTCACGATTTCACAGCTACCTTGAAAGGTGCAACTGTCTTTTCAAAAATCGACTTGGTAAAAGCTTATAACCAAATTCCTATGGCCACTAAAGACATTCCAAAAACCGCTATTATAACGCCCTTCGGACTCTATGAATTTTTGAGAATGCCTTTCGGTTTGAGAAACGCGGCACAGACTTTCCAAAGATTCATAGATGACGTTTTTCGAGGTCTCAACTTCGTACATGCATACGTTGATGACTGTCTAATAGCAAGTCCGGACAGAGAATCACATCTCCAGCATCTGGATCTTGTTTTCGACCGACTACAAAAACATGGCATTACCGTAAACATTCAGAAATGCCAAATCGAAACCGAATCCTTAGACTTCTTAGGACACACTATAGATTCGCAAGACATTCGACCCCTTAGAACAAAAGTGGCGGCCATTCTGGATTACCCAGAACCGACCACCATCAAGCAATTGCGCACGTTTAACGGTCTGGTAAGTTTTTATAGACGATTCATACCGAAATGCGCGTTACTTATGAAACCCCTTACCGACCAACTTCGTGGAAATGCGAAATCCATTAATCTAGATGACACTACCCGAAAAGCATTCTCCACGGTTAAGGAACATATCGCCCGAGCAGCAATGCTTGCTCAACAGGACCCTAAAGCGCCCATTAGCACCACAGTAGACGCATCCGACTCAGCAATCGGAGCAGTCTTACAACAATGGGTTAACCACTCCTGACAACCTTTGGCATTTTTCTCTAGACGGTTGCTAGACACTGAATCGAGGTACAGCACATTCGGTAGGGAACTCCTAGCTATGTATTGTGCTGTCCGGCATTTTCAACACTATATCGAAGGCCGTGAACTTACCATTTTTACCGACCATAAACCACTTACTTTCTCCTTAAGCTCTTCTTCGGACAAGTACTCACCACGTGAGTCTCGACAACTGGACTACATTTCGCAGTTTACTTCAGATATTCGACACATTTCTGGAGCAAGCAATGTAGTTGCAGACGCCTTGTCTCGTATAAATTCCTTGAACAGTTCCCAAGGAATCGACCTTTTAAAACTCTCCCAACTCCAAAAAGAGACAGTGATCTTCAGCACGAATTGGCCTCAACAACACTTAAACTGCGCATTAAACAGATGGGAACAGGTAAGGAAACCTTACTTTGTGACACATTACAGGTAGGGATCGCCCAATAGTGCCGAAACATTATCGACGCAACGTCTTCGATACGTTGCACAGACTTTCTCATTCAGGTGTTCGTGCAACCATCAAGCTTATAGCAGAACGGTTTTGCTGGCCTGGTATGAATAAAGATGTGATGGAGTGGGCACGCTCCTGTGTAAGCTGCCAGAAATCTAAGGTTATTAGGCATAACAAATGTCCCTTAGGCTCGTTTAAAACTCCCGATGCTCGCTTCGATCATGTTCATTTGGATTTGGTAGGACCTTTACCAGATTCGAATGGATATTCTTGTCTTTTAACATGCGTAGACAGTTTTACTCGATGGTCAGAAGCAGCACCCATCAAAGACATTACTGCTGAAACAGTGGCCCGCGCCTTCGTCGAGAGGTGGGTAGCAAACTTCGGCTGCCCAACAACCATTACTACAGACCGTGGACGTCAGTTTGAATCTAAACTGTTTCGTTGTCTGACCATGAAACTAGGAATCACTCGCTTTCGAACGACGGCCTACCACCAACAAGCAAACGGGTTAGTAGAACGTTTTCACCGACAACTAAAAGCGTCACTATCAGCCTCAAACATTTCTCAGTGGACTGACGCTCTTCCGCTCGTCCTACTAGGCATATGCAATCCAGTGAAATCTGACATTGGATACACTGCATCTCAACTCGTTTATGGTACGACCCTTCGACTTCCAGGAGAGTTCGTGGATCCTTCATCCTCTTTGATGGACATGGATCTAATCTCCTACGCGAACAGGCTTACAAACGCAATGCGTTCAGTTAAACCTGTTTCCACTCGATCACAATCAACTGATGTTTTCGTTCAACCTGACTTACGACATAGTACGCACGTTTTCGTGCGTCGAGACTCGCATCGACGACCTCTCGAATCAACATATGAAGGACCTTT